GCTAAACTTGCTTCACATAACATTTAAGCACAGGATACGCTGGGAAATAGTATTGTGCATTAGTAATTAGAACTGGAAATTAGCAGCTGGTGTTTCATGACTGAAAATTATGATTTTACTGTAACTGATGCTCTGTATGAGCATCCTTTAGTGCCAGCTTTGTAGGCTAACCTAATCTCTCCGCAGTTGTCTGTTGTCACTCGTTTTGAAAAGGAGCATTAACTGTGGAAACAGTCTGTATTACCATAAGTAATACAGACCTACCTTTCTTCCTTTTAAGAAATTGCTGGAACATTTGACTCACAGAAAACCTCCATGATTCAGTTATGGCTAAATCAGTTATGGCTTGTTCTTTTCACTGAGCTTACTTTCCCAGGGTTGTTTTCTCTTTCAGCTGAGTTACATTCACCTACTGGAAGTACAGTTGGTGAAATTGTCTTATCAGACTGAAGTGTATCAATTGTAAAGATTTTTTTACATCACAGCCTCTCTATACCAAAAGTGTTTAAAGGAGATAAGAACTGTGAAATCTATTTATTTATGGTAAGCAGAGTCTGAGCAAATAGTTTTTGTATCCAAATACATTAAATTTACAAACTCTTGAGTCTTTTAGATTAATTTTATTATGGAAAGATATGGTGTTAGTCATCTTGGAAATTAATGTGATTGTGTAATTTAATTTAAGATAAAAATTACGGCAAAGGAACTCCAATGTGTCTACAATTGTGCGAGGCTGAATACTGGTGGTTCTGCTTTCTTGGAACTACTTTTCCTATATTTATTTTGAAATAGCAATATCAAAGGCTGTTTTTAAAGTAAAATTCAAGGTAGTCACTTTAAAAAAAAATTATGCCCTGTTGTGGAAAAATCACAAAAGGGAAATACCAAAGACCAAAGTCATAATGGACATCAAGATAAGTTGAGAAATAGGTAGGTTAGATGATTCTCAGTATATCAGGTCACAAAATCTGAACCTGTGGGCATGTGTGTTTTTATTTTGACAGGACTTAGACAAAACCAAATGCAAACAGTTTTTAACCTGAAATTGAAGGGTCTTGTGATTGGATGAATACTGCCTCCACATGTGCATAATTATGCACAAATTAATGTCAGAAGCACTTCAGAATCTCACATCCTAAGGCTGTGTGAAGCATGTGGGAGTGCAGGGATGGTCACCCTCCCCTGTCCAGTGAAGACTGGTTACAATTATGAGAATAACTCCCAAAAATGGCCTTGAACCTGCATAGAGAGCTCCATGACTACCAAGTAGTTAGTAATAAATCCACTTGGCTCCAAGCATCCCATCCAAGCTGTGACACCTCTGTGTGTCTGTACACATGTGCTTATGACATGGCTTTTCAAAAGTTGTCTGGTGCAACAGGACTGCCTTTTGCTCCTGGCACATAAGGCTAGCCACTAGGGAAGTAGGGAAGGTGTGAGGGGGATTGGATGGGGAAAGGATGATCCCATTCAGTGCCTAGCCGCTGTCAAGAAATGCAGTGTATTTAGTGCTTGATTTCTCTTAGAACAAACTCCTAAAGCTGCTCCACAACTCTGCCCCTTGGCTTGGCGGTGTCCTGGCCCCAGCGGAGTGCTGTGCAGGTGTGCCTGCAGGGCGGTGTTTGCCCGGCTGCGTGCGCTGGCCTCCCGGGAACCGGTTTGTCGGGGCCTCGCACACGCAGGACGCCTCCCTCGGCACACCGGCCTCGGGCCCTTCCCTTGGCTGAGGAGGAAGAGGAGCCCCGGGCAGCAATGAAGGGCCTGAGCCGCCTGCTCCGCGCCGGGGAGGATGCCGCGCAGGGAGCCGTGGCGGCGAGCCACGAGGGCCGTGAGTCCGCGGGGGTTGCAGGCCAGGGGCCCGGGGGGCAGGACAGCTCAGAACAGCCCCGCACAGCCCAGCACAGCCCAGCACAGCACAGCACAGCCCAGCACAGCCCAGCACAGCCCAGGACAGCCCAGCGCAGCCCAGCCCAGAACAGCACAGCCCAGCCCAGAACAGCACAGCCCAGCACAGCATAGCACAGCACAGCCCAGCGCAGCACAGCCCAGCGCAGCACAGCCCAGCCCAGCACAGCATAGCACAGCACAGCCCAGCCCAGAACAGCACAGCCCAGCACAGCATAGCACAGCACAGCCCAGCACAGCACAGCCCAGCACAGCATAGCACAGCACAGCGCAGCGCAGCACAGCCCAGCCCAGAACAGCACAGCCCAGCACAGCATAGCACAGCACAGCCCAGCACAGCACAGCCCAGCACAGCATAGCACAGCACAGCGCAGCGCAGCCCAGCCCAGCCCAGCTCAGCCCAGCATTGCACAGCCCAGCACAGCACAGCCCAGCCCAGCACAGCACTGCGGCCGGCACCGCCACCGGTGCCTGCCTTCCCTGGAGGCAGCGAGCCAGGCCCCCTTAGGGCTGCTGGGTCCCACCCAAACCTGCTTTTTGCCTTGACGGGAGAACAAAATGAGCGGTGTGGGTTGGAAAGAACAAAGATGAACATGAGCTGTTGTACGTGTAGTAAAAGGCATGAGCAAATGTGTGGATGTATGATTGGGAGCTGGGCTTTGGCATGTGGAGTTTCCTGGGGCAAGTCCTACAAATTGCCCACTGCCGTGCTTTAACTTCCCCTCTTTGAACGGCTCTGAGAGGGTTCGCTGCTATTAGTCACGTCCCTGGAGCTGAGCATCTGCCGCCAGTTTCACAGCCACACAGAAATCAGAGGATCTTGCACTCAGAAACACAACCCCGCAATGGGGTCTCCAGCCTTCAACCTGCACACCAGTCTGTGAAAGAACAGACTGCTCTGGCGTTAGCTGTGGGTAGTGAAAACAGGTGATTTGTGGAAACTAAATGATAGTTGCCAAACCCTGCTTCGCCACAGTCCTATGATCACAGTGTGACAGTCAGGAGCCATCATCTTGGGCTGTGGTTCTTGCTCCCAGGCTGGCAAAGAGTGGAGAAAAAGAAAATAACTAATGAAATATCACTATTGGACTCAATAAGTAGTTTTCCCCATGATTTGTTTGAAATAGAAAATTACTATTTTAGAAAACAAATCTTAGTGACTTAGCAAGATCCCTACATTGCTCTAGTAATTTTATTTCCAGTAAAAAGAAAACCCAGAGAAAACTTTGAAAATGTTGACAGATCATTAAATAGATTATTTCATTTTTAGAAATAATAGGGTAAAAGTACTTTTATTGGAATTTGAATCCAAATATTGTTGATTTTTTAAATTTTACCTCCTTGGACCTCCTTAATCAATTCAAATTCAGGGGTTGTTTTGCCATGTGTTTTTTAAGATAGTTGTGGATTTCATCTTGTGGACATCACAACAGAAGAGGAAATTAAAGTACTAATTCCAGTTAGCTCAAAATAAAAATGGAATATAACTATTAAATTGTCCAATATAAATATATATGTATTTATTATATAAGCCAGACTTTTTGTATGGTGCCAAAGAAAATACCCCCTAAAAAACCTGGCAGTCACACATAGATAATTGATCACTGCTGTTACTTGAAAATAGAGTAATTCCTAGTTAAAGGAGGAGTGCTAAATCTTGGAGACCCCTGCTCGAATAGAAGGCTTCCATAAAGCTTAGTCTGACACCTCTGTACTCCTGTAATTCCATACATGAAAAAAAATATTTGCAAAAGCAGCAGAAGTTTAGGCAACAAATCAGTGTCATTGTGTGTCTACACTGTCATGGTTCTCAACTCCTGAATCACTAAGTGTGAAGAGAGAGAGATTATGAAGAAGTATAATGTATAGAGGAAAAGGTCTTTTTAGCAGCACATGGCCAATACATTGCTTCTGGACAGGAGAGAAAAGAACACTTAATTTTTTTGTTAGAACTGTGAAATTGTCCTTGCTGATGCATATACAGTAAAGAAACATAATTTTATCTTGTTTTTGAAGGCAGTGCTGAGTAAAGTCTTGGGCTTGTTCCTGATTGTCCTGCTTCTATCTTTGCATCCTCATGTAAGACGGCAGTCAGCAGGAATGAATGTGGCCTTATTGTAATTAATTGCTAATTAGTGCTGTATCATTTTTTCCACATTTGACATAAGTTTGCCTTGAGCAAGGTATCCTTTGACCATTGGTTTACCTGAGCTTGAAATCAAGTTAGTAGAAAGCTCTGTTGGATACTTCCTAAGGTAATGACTATGAAAACTGGGACTGAGGCATTTATTCTTCAAAGATCACTGTTCATAATGATGATTTTGCTATTAGCCATGCTCCTTGTCACAAATGGCAGGAGAGCATCTTTATTTGCAAATGCTTTTTTTTCTTTTTATTTTCCTTCCTTCTGCCTGCATATCATGCATGTTGTAATATGAATAACACATAGACTGTGATTCCCAGAGAAGTTTGGAAGGATGATTCTTTTATTTGAGGCACTTGGATAATTTCTTAGGGAAACTGGAAACACCTTTGTAAGTATCCAGTTTAATTTCTAATTCATTTTCTACAGTAAAAATGTGATTATTCTCCCTGAGATGATAGCCACAGGGAACATATAAATGCAATTAAGTGAATGCTATCCTGATTTTCCTTAGTATGCTCTGCAGTCATAGTGCCTCAGGCTGTGTCCTGATTAGGCATTAATGAACTTAGACATAATGTGGTAGGATGAACTTGCCTGAGAGGGCTCTAAGGAATAGATAATTCCTGTAGTTCCTGGTCCAACAGACTGGTGCCTCCTTGATGATATCATTGGACAAGTGGCCTTCAGCCCAAAATAGTCTAAACAGAAGACATCTAACTAATTGTATTTTAAGTGTGACATACTATTGGATTAAAAGTATGTATGAACATTTTTGCAACTGGTGTAACTGGTACACTATTTTCTTTTAAGTGATTAATGAAATATTACAGTATAAACATGGAAAAGACTCTGACTTCCAGCTAAAGGAGGTCAGACACTGGAATTTTACTTTTCAGAGTTACTATCAGACACTGGAATTTTATTTTTCAGAGTTACTGAATATGTCTTGCTACCTCAGCTGACCAAACAGATGCTAATTTTTGGATTGAGACATTAAAGGAAGGTCTCAAATTGAAAGTGGGTTTTGTTTGTGTTGGTTTGTTTTTCCAGTCATGTCACACTGTTTGGTTACTGCTTTACATATTTTGTGTTTTGGTAGTGTGTTTTAAAACAGAACAATTTCTCAAAGAATAGGAAATAAATGCTGAAGTTTGTAGTTGAAGTTACTGCTATGCCTATGCTGTAATTTGAGATGCAGTTAGGTAGTAAGAGCTTCATAAACAAACTGTTCCTGTGAGTCCCAGCTCTGGTGATCTGTGTTGTGAAGAGTCTCTCTTTAGTTGCACTTAAAAGTTGAAACTAGAAATATCAGCCAGATGTCTCTAAAGGAGAAAAATCTAGTCATTAAATGCTTTGATGATGAGAAACAAGTGATTCTCATAACATTAAATCACTACAAAGAACAGAAAGTATAAACAATATTATCATCCCGTATGTTGGTTATGGCTACTTTTTTAATAATATGGGGTTTTTTATCATGTTTTCCCACAGTCCTGCCAGATGAGAGAGAATTTCAACATGCTGCTAAAATGAACAATTTGGATACCATGGAAAAGCTGTTTAAAAAGGATGTTAACATAAATGCTGTAGATACTGTGAGTATAAGGTGCCTGACAGATGACTGCTGTGAAGGGTGCCTCCTTGGGCCTGCGTGGGGGAATGCCAGCATGCCCCCTCAGCTGCAGGAGTGAGGCTGCAGAAGGGCCCTCTAGGACCTGATGAAGAAATAATTTCATGCAGCCATTATGGACACTGGGAGTTGTACAGCTGAACTCTCAGGTTTCAGTGTCAGTGTATCACATTGGGAACTAAGGACTTCTCAATTCTGCCCCTACTCTAGTGTTTCCTCAGAGCTCTTTGGTGACTAATTTCTCAAGTTCTCCATCTTTCTAAGTGGGAAGACTTTACCTCACAGTCACTTTAAGAATGGATTCATGCTGCTAGCATTACAAATTTCTAGAAAGAAGTATTACTCTTGGTTTGCATGGAACTGTGGGAGCATTCTACAATGTCCTCTGGTTCCAGCCTGAGCTCAGAGTCCAGATTTACCTTAGATATACAAAAATGCATTTCCTATGCTGACTTCAAGACCAGGCCTAAAATCTGAGATGTATACTTCACAATAGCTAAATACAGCACTGTGTTTCACATGAGAGGTAGTTCAACAGCAACCAAGCAGTCATGATATTAATCTGGGAGTTTTGTGTAACAGTGTCCTCTCAATGGCTACATATAAATCATCTACCCCTGAGTATTTATTTATTTATTGTTATTTATTTTGGGTTCTGAAAAATGTTGCCTCCCATGCCCACATGTATTTTCACTCACTGGGGAATATAGAAGATATTATAGTGCATTCCTTAATTTGTTTATGAAACTGACAAGGAGACAAACATTTCCTCTGTGCACACTTCTCTTGAATACTGAGTATCAATTGCATTACACTCTAAAAGGTCACTTTAAAATAGTTCTTTCTTCCTCCTTGCTTTCCAGAATTCAGGAAGTTAAACTAAATGCATTTTCAGTTCAGTAGTTTGAAACTTTTCTCTGTCATCCTTAAATTAGATCTATCATATGAGAGAGTTACTAGCATAGCTGCAAAGGTGTTGTGCCTTGATTGATTATCCTAGTAGGGAGGTAGCTTATGCTGGCAAAGCCATTTGTTTTGTTAATGTTGATGATTCCTGCGCCTGTGCTCTCAAGCCAAATAAGAAAGGCTATCAGATGATGAGCTTTTTGATAGTACTCTTTCTATAGTATAAGAAGCTTATTTCTGTCATAAATATACCTCCTAAATCCCACCTTTTTATTCCTTTTGGTGCATATGATTGTAAATTTAAATTTATACAAGTCAGGTGAACTTCAGAGAAGCTAAGAAAACAAATCCAAACTGACTTTTAAAATTAATTGATTAAATCTCTTAGACATCTTTGTATGGAAACTATTAGTCACTAATGTTAAACCCAGTTATGCCCACTTTAACTGAAAGCAAAACTCTCCAATAAAATTTGATTCAATTTAACAAATTTCTTTTAAATATATACCACAAATTACTTTATGGAAGTCTTCTTGAGAAGCACTGAGCCCATTCACCTCTATAAAATTACTCACTGTATGCACGGTGGTAGCTTTCATTTACGTAGATGATGACTCAGTATGGGAAGGTGACTAACACTGAGTGAGGGAGAAATCTTGGCTTGCATTGCACAGGTTTGGTCAAAAGCAAGGAGGATACCAAAAGCAAGTCTAATTGCGTACATATAGACCTCAGCTATTTAAACTACACCGTGCAATAAAATAATAAATAAGGATGCTTCTTGTACTGCATGCACCCCCCCTATGCAGTGTTTGAGTATTTAATCCCATTCTGACATTTCAATGAAAGGACATTACTATGTGGACTAACAAAATCATTCTGTTTTTACAAGAATTCTCTAAGATCAATATCTAAATTATATCCAAAGAAATAGAAGGAGAAATATGAAATAGTATATATTAACAGGTACATTTGGTAACAAACAGAGAATTCCAAAATCCTGACCACCTGCACAGGGGAAGAACTGTATTGCAGACCTGACAAAGCTTTCTGTATTCCAGCTGAAGCGTACAGCGTTCCATTTTGCTGTTGCGGCAGGCCATGTGTCCGTGGTGGACTTTCTTCTTCATCACAAAGCTAGACTTGATATGGCAGATCAGGTAAGCTGGCTTACTTGTTTTGATTCACATGTATAGGAATTCCTTTGAGTAAAAGCAGATAATTTTCTTGTGCTCCCAAATGTGCAAAAATTAAGAGCTTGCAGTAAAAACTCCGGTTTGTCTTAGAACTGCACCTATTTGTGTGAAAAAGGCATTTTTAGAAGAAAAACACATTGCCCAAAGTACTGGATAACTTGAATACCTGAGTGAGCACAAGGCACCTCCCTTGGCCAGGTCACAGTGTTTACCTGATACAGCCAAGGACATTATTTGCCTTGTGTGCTGCAAGAGCACACTGCTGACTCGTGTTCAACTTAGTGTGCACCAGGACGCCCAGGTCTTCCTCTGCCAAACTGCTTTCCAGGCAGTTGTCCCCAGCCAGTACTGCTGCCTGGGATTGCTCCTGCTCCTCCTCCTCAGGGGCAGGACTTTGCATTTCCCCCTGTTGAATTATGTTATGTTCTTGCCAGGCCATTTCTCCAGCCTGTTTCCCTGGATGGCAGCACACCAATACAGTCTGTCAGCCATTCGTCCCAGTTTAATATCAAGTTGACTGCGGGTGCATTCTGCCCATCATTCAGGTCATTAACGCAGATGTTGAATAGCATTCCCAGGATGGATGCCTAGTGCATTATTTGTGACTGGCCTCCAGTGGTTCATAACTTGTAAGGTTTTTCAGGGCAGACTTTTAGGCCACAGCCACAAATTTTGCTGAAGCCTAGATTTATCTTATTGCCTGCATACCAGATACATATTCCATATTGCCCTCCACTGTTTTCCACTGCATTTTCTGCAAATATGGGAAAGACTGGTGAAGTGGAGTGAGTCCCATGCAGAGCCTCTAGAATGATTAGAAGTGCAGAACAGGGTATATGAGGGGGTGTCCTAACATCCAACCTAAACCTCCCTGTACACCTCCCCTCCATGCCAGTTTCTCTGGTCCTGCCAGGTCAGTGCCCGCCTCTCCTCTTCCCCTCACGAGGAGGTTGTAACTGCAATGAGGGCTCCCCTCTGTCTACTCCAGGCTGAAAAGACCATGACCTCATATGGTTTCTCCTCAAGGTCATTCATCATCTTTGTGTTCCTCCTTTGGACACTCTTTAATAGCTTTATGTGCTTGTATTGTGACACCCAAACTGGCCCCAGTACCTGAGATGAGGCCACAGCAGCTCAGAGTTGAGCTAGTCCTTTTGTTTTTAAGGGTTAGTTTTTTCCTATAAGAGAAAAAGTTTTTAGAGAATTTGAGAGGTGAGAACATTAGAAAGAGGTCTAAATGGAAAATTATAGGGACTCATGGAAGTATATTCATTGCATATTGTCACTTGAAATGTCATCCACTGCACCCAGGACCATCTATCTACATGGTTTCTGGAGAGAGAAAATAATTTCCAGGTAGGACTTCATCCCTCTGTCATAAAATGGGATCAGTCCTTCTCTAGAGATGCCAGACCTTCTGTGAAGAAGTCAAACATTTATCTAGGTCTTGCTCTATTGCATCTAGCTTAGTTTAAGTGAGATGAATCCCACTCACACTGTCAGGTGTTCATATTGCTTTTCTAAAAGCCTACAGACTGGAACCCACTAATACACTGAATCAATCAAAAAGATTTAAAGAAACTTGGCTTGAGGTATTTTGGTGGTAATTTTTGCCTTTGTCATTTTATTTGAAGTACGGCCTGACAGTGATTCATCTTGCAGCCTGGACTGGAAATCTGGATATAATGCGAAAATTAGTTAAAGCAGGTGCTGATCAAAAGGCTAAGAATGAGGTTTGTTGATGAAAAATTTTTACCAACCCTAAATATGTTTATGTTGGGAAAAAATCAAACATACTTACAGACTGACTTACCATTTTTCAGGAAGGAATGAACGTACTGCATTTTGCAGCTCAGAGCAACAACATTAAAATAGTTGATTATTTCCTCCAAGATCTTCACCTGAATGACTTGAACAAACCTGATGGGGTACAGTGTGTTTCTGTTTATTTCTTTGATGTTATGAGGCTTTTGTTTTGGGGGAAACAATCTTGATTTGGGGAATTTAAATGAATTTTAGTTTATTGATAGCTGCCTATTCTTTTAATTACTGATTTGGATACTGAGAAACAGGTAAAAGAAACAGCCAGACAAGCCCTTAGGGGCAACATCCTTCTCCCTCTTTGCCTGTTCCAGTTGGACTGCAGACACCTTCTGCTGTTCTTTCTTCTGCTGCATGTGATGCTCAGTTGTGGTAAGGCAATGGGAGTCAGAGAAGGTTGGGTCCAGTCCCCAGTCAATTCCTTTTTTTATTGCTTTTGCCTCTCGCTATTTTCCTCTGCCACAGAAAGCTTCTTGAATGGGCTGCAGTCACCTGTGGGTGTACCTTCCTCTGTTCTTCCTCCCTTGCACCTTCTGTGTTTGTTGCTGTATCCCCCCTTGTGCATTCTTCCCACAGCAGTGCCCAGCCACTCTTACATACATTTTCACAGAGGCATCATTTGGTTCAATATGGTGGGTTAAGTGTTGGCACATCGTGGGGCAGCTGAGTTCACTGTGGAGCCAGTGGAAATGTCTGACAGGCAGCCTCTGACATTTCCCACACAGCTCATCTGCACAGACCCCTGTCCCTACCAAAACATGCCAGTTGTGGCCAACATGGCCATGTTTCATCAATGTAGAACACAGAACTCTGTGCAGCCATCCTAGAGAGGGGCACTGACTCTGATTCTCAACAGTGCCTTGTCCTCATCAGGTGTTCTGTGTTTTTAATTTCCACAGTCATGTGAATCTTGTTTTGATGTGCTATGTAGACAAGTCAGATATTTTAGCTTTACGTGAGGAAAACTTATTCCTCTGAGATCTGACACCTAAAGAACAAATCTCCCTTTTTTTTTCTTCTGAGTTTCTTGAATTTTATTGACCTAAGGGTGCAAAATTCTGAATTCTTTTTACAAATGACAAGTCTGACAAAACAGAGTTAATTTAAAAAAACATTTCTTTGAAGGTTTAGGCCCTGGGAGTGGAAAGGTGAGGAAGGACCTTCTCAACCACCTGTTGAGGTTGCATCATAATTCTCTACTAGGTGCATACATTTTTTTTTCCTAGACATTTCTATAGGCACTACTAGGCATGATGTGAAGCCATTTTACCTAGCTGGTTATATGCCTTACTGTTTTGAACAGTGGTATGGTTTTGTGTCAAGACAACTTTCTGCAGTTGAGTTTGTAAATGGTTTGAAAAGTTTTTGTTAGCTTCAACACTACCAAAATCCCCTACAATGTACAGTGCTAAATTCAGGCCTCCTGGATGAAACTTCTGAGATACATCAGTTTTGGTCTCTGTTTCCAGAATTTGAATCAAACTCATCCATGGAAATAAATTTTGCAATTTCTTTGCTACCTGTTTCTGAGCATCCTCAGACTTTTAATGACACAGTTATTTCAATTAATATTTTCATACTGAGAAAAAATAGGATTAAATATTTTGAGTTTTACCCTTTTTTACCATTTCTAAACAGCTTTAATATATTTTATTCAGGATATGAAAGATGTATGGTCTGTTTGTAAACACTAAGTGTAATTTTAATTACTGCTCTTCTGTGTGTCATCTACTATTGTGTTAATCTCCTTAGTCATATGATATATAAATTTTTATGTAGGATACACATATACATATGTATGCCATATATCTAGTAACTAGAAGTATTTCTACTTTCTGTAACACTATGTTTCTTTCCATAATTGTTTTCTAGAAAGGTAAAAAGCCATTTCTTCTGGCCTCTGAAAAAGGCCATGTTGACATGATAAAAAAATTGATTGCTCTGAAGCTATTTACATCTGAAAAAGATGAGGTAAATGTTTCTTTTCCACGGAAGTACAACTACAAATGTGCTTAGGAAAAATTATTCTGTTTCACTGTGGTTATTATACAATCAAATATCTGAGTGTGCTGCACAAAAGTGATATAAGGGTCCAACAAACATATGATGATTTTTAGTGATAAAGGGAAGGCAGTGGGATGATTGCCAGGAGACTTTTCCATACACATTCATAATTTATGCAAAGCAAGACTAGCATATGCTGTCTGCTGAGAGAAGTGGGGAAGCCTGGTGATAAAGGTGTCACCCTCTTCTGGGAGATCATATTTCTCAGTATTTCACTCTGTCTGTCTGTGTGTGACTGTGTGATCAATTTTTCAAAGGTGTTTAAAAACTTCAGGATGAAAATAAACACCTATAAATTTTTTTTTCAGCAGTACCTTAACACTTCAATCTGATTGAGTTTGCTTTGACACTGTATTTTAAGGTATCTTCGTAATTTTCAAAATCTGCTCTTAAATTTATTTTTTCTTGCTTTACCATTTCTAGAATGAGCAAGTTAGTATTTCTCTGCATCTGAGGCATTGTAAGACAAATACAGTAAAAATTGTGAATATGTGAGATACTGCATTTACAGAACCACATAAGTAAGCACTCAGGAAGTGATGTTGGATTTTTTGGTTTTCTGGTAATAGTTTAAAAGCTGTAGTGCCACCCAGAGCTCTGCCGTGCTAAGCAGTTTATCAACAGAGGTTGACAGATGGTGTTGTCCCAGATATCTAGCAGGTTAAAGGTGTTGACAGCACCAGGGGGTAAATGCTGTGGTCCTGCAAATTAGGTAAGAAGCCAGGACAGAAACTCATCTCCTGGATCACCAAACCAAATCATACTCTAACCATCAATGGTAAAAAGGATTCCCACATCTTCCCACTCAATGCTGTGAGTGAAAAACTGTTCTGGACTCTCATTTTTCTGAGAGTTAGGATTCTTCTAAATTTTTTAGCCATTTTTAAACTATTTTGTATGCTTGCATTTTCTTTTAGTTCAAAAGCTGCTGCTCTGCCTGAAGTTGTTAGTTGCTTTTTTTTGCTTGCTTGGTGGTGTGGTGTTTTGGTTTTGTTTCTGTTTTCTGTTTCTTAATTTCCTGGAAAGAAATTGCACTGTCGGTGACAGAGATCAAAGATTGTGATGTTGACATCAAAGCCATGACAAATTTCTATGCTCTGACCTAGGCTTTTTTACTCCTTAAATCAATGGTCTTGGGGGCTCAGTGTAGTACCCACTCTTGTGGGAACCAGTACCTGAAGTTTTCTTCTGGTTCATGTGTTAGGTGTTAGAATTTCAGATCTTTTTGCTGGTATACACTGAAGTTTTCAGACAACCCATTAGATCAGACTAGATCAAGATTAGAGTGAATCTTGGCACATGCTGTGTGCAGTTGCCTCCCTTTCCTTGTATGTAAGAAAGACTTGCATGTAAAAGACCAAAGGCATTTTGTTGGTTTTAGTTAATGTCATTATTCTGAATTTTAAAAGATATTGTTTGATGTTTTAATTTCAAGGAGGGAAACACAGCATTGCATTTAGCAGCCAAAAATGGTCACAGTGAAGTTGTAGAAATTCTGCTTGAACAATGGGAGGAAATAAATGTCCTCAATCAGGTAAGTACATCTAAACTATTGAAAGAAATAAAGTTAGAGATTTGAAAAATTTTCTAAAAATTCAAATTTGAAAGGAAGAGATGTGGCACTGAGGAGACTTCATTAGTCTTGCTGGTTTCCTAGTAACTTTGCATCCTGTTTCCTTGTTCTTTGTCCAATAAATTAATCTCCCTAAATTATCCCTCCTTCAGTGTCTTCCTCTGTCCTCTATCCCTTACAGACGTCCTCCCCTGCATTTGGCAGAGGAGAACAGAGGAAGGCCTTGACCCCCTTGCTTTCTGTCATCCAGCAATTTTAGCCATGTGATACCATTCCTTTTAACATCTCACTTTTAAGCACTTCTGGTGCTTTTCAGCATTATTCATTGAGCCAGTTGGACTTGCATACCAAGCACATTCCATCACAGGCACCTCAGCAGAGGTAATTTGCATCTTGTCCATCAGTTGCACAAAACTGGCTGCAGACACTTTCCTGGTTTAGTGTTGGTGAGCTCAGCCAGCATATTCATCAATTGTGAATTAGCTGGGAAGGTTGCATCCCTGAGTTAATGCACTCTTCGGGTTCATTTTAAGGCTTAAACAAGGAGTGGAGGAAGGAAATGCACACTAACTGCTCCTCTCAGCGTTCTTGCTTTGTAAAGGGTTCCTGTCTCTTCTCTTTTTTCTATGGGGCAGCTGGAACAACCTGGGCAAGGTAATTTCCTTTGTTGAGGGCTGGAATGCCCACTGTGGGAGCCTGCCTTGTGGCTGATCATTTGTTCTGCTGGGCCAGGGGGAAAAATGAGTAACTCCTACCCAAGGCCCTCCTCTTAGTTTATCAGTGGCAGACTGATGAGTTGAGAGGTTCCCTCTTACCCAACTTGGCTGCTCTTTTCAGCTGTGCCTGTTGTGAGGCTCATGAGCCTCTTTGAAATGTGCAGCCCTCCTGTTTCCAAGGCTTGTTTAGGAATGTTGCTTCTGCACACAGAGCTTGTGCTGCTTGTGCCCCTGTCTTGGCATGGCTAACGGTGTGACCTTCCCATCCAGCAGGAGATGCTGTGATCCACGTATGAACAGATCTCTCTTCCCATAGCATGAGCAAAGTACTAAAATGTATTGTTTACCAGAATAATATCAAGATTTTAAGCAAAGAAAAATTAGGATTTATTGATTCTTTTGTGACTGTTGAAACACCAGAGTAACTTTCATTAAACCTTTTTGCATTTTAGATGTTAAGCAGGAGTTAGATAATTGTGTAGTTGATGTATCCCTTTTTATAGACTTGTGTGGAGACATGGAGACTCCTTCATTGGGAAAAGATTTGAAATAAATATGAAACAGGATTATTTCTGCTTAAAGTTCTCCTTATAGCTAGCACTTGGGGTTGTGAATTTGTCAGAAATCCATGGCATTGCACTGACAGAAATTGGAATTACTGTACGTACTAGTCGTGGTGTTTCCTGGTGTTGAATGGCAACAATGGCTGCCCACCAAAAAGAGCATGATTAATATTTTTAGAATAATTTTCTGTATTGTAAACTTTACTATACATCTGTCCAGATAAACATCATCTGTCACTTAACTGCTGGTGAGTAGCCATGTCATTCAAGAGTTGGACGGGCCTGTGGAGCCTACTGGAGGTGTTTTGTGTCTCAGTGTTGTAGTCACATGTCTTAAATTGGAACAGATATTTTGTCTCTTTTGGTCTAGAATGGAGAAACTCCATTTTACTTGGCTGTTGAGGGAGGTCATGAAAAATGTGCTGAACTCTTACTGGAGGCCGGGAGTGACATCAATGTTTCAACTCAGGTATGTACGCAGCATCACTCCTAGTGGGGCATACTAGACTGTGAAAAGGATCTTAATAGCAAAGGATATTTGCTCTGGGCTTTTTTTTTTTTTTTTTATGAAACCAGTTAAAAATAGAATGGGGAATGTAGAGAGTGCTAGCAGAATAAAACCAGTGTGGAAGTAAAATAACATTAGCTTTATTTGATGGAATACTGTGGTGGAGCTTTTCATTTCCTGTATGCCCACTAGTACAACATGTGACTAGAAAATGTGACCAACAAGGATAACTGAAAATCCTCCTTTTTGGCAGTGCATGTGACTGATCTGATGACAAACTTGTTCTCTACATGTGATTCCTGAACTGCAGTCCAGCTCATATCTGCTGAATGGCTTGGCTAGCCTGCTGCAAGAAGTTTATGATTCCAGCAGAATGAGAACTTATTTGTTTAAGCAGAACTATTTTGTAAAAATTAATTTTTAAAATTTATTTTATATTAATTTATTTTTGTATTGATTTATTAACTGTCCTATGGATCTACTGGTTAATGTGACCATACTTGCTTGGTAAGGGTCTAACAGACTAACTAACAGAATAGGAGACATGTTGGCATTGTTGTTGTCCATGGCACAATATAGATGATGATGCTGATCTGTCTCTTTTTTGAGAGAAGCTGAATGGGGCCATGGGATACATGTGTTCTTTAGTATGTTTGTTGTGATACAGTAAAATTGGGAATTTCCTTCACTGTTGACAAAACATAATGCCAGCTGCTGATGTGCTTCATTTTGTATCATTTTGTCAAAGGGTTTTATTGGTGGAGGGGATACTAAGACAAATTTAAATGCAAGATTTCCCGGTATTTATACCTCTCTTTAATAACTGTGTTTTTCAGCAATAAAAATGTAAGCTTTTCTATCAAATTCCTTTCAGAACAATAGCAGTGCTTTGCAGGTTGCAATTCAGAATGGACATCTATCCTTGGTTACTTTTCTTATTGATAAGAACATTGACCTGGTTCCTAAACCTGAGGTGAGTGTTTATCAGTATAACTCTTCTGCTGCTCCTCAGTCTGTCCTGTCTTTCTGTGGGAATTGAGACAGCTGAATGAGATTGAGTAGTTCCTTGAATTTTTTCCCAAACACACTATTATTTGGTTTCTAGATGTTGGTTAGCCACACACACAGAGCAATAGAGGCAAGATCCAGTTGCCAGCCCAGTGGGTGCCTGAGCAGGCTGGAGCAGTGCGGAGTAGACATGGCCAGGCTGCACCAAGGGCCAGGCATTCGGAGAAGGAGAGCCAAGTGCCCTGCTTGAACTTAGCAGTAGTAATGCCATGGGCAAAGAGTCAACATGATTTTGAATAAAGATATGTCACAGACATCTTTTCATGAAAATCCTTTCCTCAGGATTTTTTCTTCCTGAGAAGCTGAGAGGCCTCAAGAACAAAATGTAAACAATGGTTATCTGCTGCTGTGGGATGCAACAGGTAGATCCTTGATTAGCCCATCTTAGATGTTTATAATTAATGGCAAATCACAGCCCAGCTAGCTCAGCTCTCTGTCTGAGCCACAAACCTTTGTTATTAATTCTTTTCTATTCTTAGCCTAGCCTTCTGATGAGAACTTTTTCTTCTATTCTTTTAGTATAGTTTTAATGTAATATATATATCATAAAATAATAAATCAAGCCTTCTGAAATATGGAATCAACATTCTCATCTCTTCCCTCATTCAAAAACCGCTGTGAACACCGTCACAAAGATAACTAAAATGTAAATAAACACTTCAGGGCTTTCACCCTCTGCAGGTAAATGCACCCTCAGTGCCTTCAAAATCTGCATGCCAACATTCTTTGTGATTTAAAAAGAAAGAGGTATTTATATTATCTAAATCCTCTCTCAGTTTAGATATTACAGATATTTGAGATTTTCTATGAGTAAGAAATTATTTTCCACTTCTACTGTACAGGATGAAAATAGAACCTGGGCTTCATGACTTATGCCATGATCACTGGCCTCTTGCAGAAAGCTATCAAGGAATAACAATTTATGTTGTGCTTGAAATGATTTAAAGGTCAGGCAGTTGTTGTGCTGCTTGTTCTCCTTAGCTTTCTGCAGCAGAAGCAACTCAAAAAATTTTTGAGTTCCAAAAAACTTTCAAAAAAATTACAAATTTCAAAAAAATTTCCAAATTTCCAAAAAATTACATTTTGCAAATGTTTCCATCATAATGTTGCATAAGAGCTTGCTTTATTTTTCTGTAGCTCAGAAGAAATGGCTGTGTTTTATAAAAACACTGAACTGGTGCCTGGCACCATGAATGGTACTGGCATGGAATTATTCTTTAGTTGTATTTTACAAGAAACTGATCCATCACAGGTTCAATATACAAAGTGATCTTACCAACCTAGTGTGGATTTTGACTGGTCTTGAATCTGTGCCTTGGTTATTTTATTACATAATCACTCAAATAAAACCTCTGCCTTGCTAATTGTAGTTTGTCATGTTTTATAAATAGGACAGTAAGTGACTTGAGTATGAAGATCATTTCTAGCAGCAACACATGACAAGGGTTTGTTCCTGGAAAGTAGATTTCAACATCAGTTTACCAAAACCAGAATGAGTCTGTCTCCAGGCCATTCAACAAAGAGCAAATCCACTTCTCTGAGGAAGCAGGAACATTACCCTGATCTCTCTGCTGTCAGGACAGCAGCACATGCCAGGCAGGAACACTTAGGAGGAGTGCCTTGCTACATTCCTAGGGGGTGGCACACTGATGCACACCCCATGCACTCAGCATTTCCAGTCTTCTCAGCTGTATTTGAATACCCACTTCCAGGTGGGAGCAGGCTACCACCTCTGGTATAACTCCACACATCCAGGTGTGTTTTCTGCAGTGTTCAGCCTCTGCTAGAACATATCACCTTTGCAAGTGGTGGGCTTCAATTAGAATCTCTTTCTTGTTTGCCTGAGCTTGTAATAATATTCCCAAATATAACAATTTATTATTTTCCCTCCACAGCAGAAGAATTCCCCTCTCCATTTAGCAGTCCTCAGTAATAATCTACTGGTAGTAAAAAGCCTTTTGGATGCCAATTACGACATAAACTCCTTAAATCACGTAAGAAAAGCTGGGAATTTACACAGCTTTATTGGTAAAGGGGAGATTACTTGGATTTTGCTTGATTTTTTTTTTTCCTTATGAGCACAGGGTACAAAAAATAGGAAGGAAGAGGGAGTTCCCTCCTAATCTTTTTCTGTGTGTACATATGTATTAGTCACTGGTACATGCTGTGCTAATATTGTTTGAGCAAGATAAGGATAGCGCAATGCTGTACACTCAGAAAATGATTGGGTAATGTATTGTTCAAGTGTTATGGTTCATGTAATAAATGACAGAAATGTCTCATTAGACAATTTGGCTTCAGAGGAAAGCCAGTGCAGAATGCCATTTGGCAGGAAAGAAGTTAATTTTTCCTTAAAGCAACCCACTACGTCCAGTCTTTTAGATCTGTGACCAAAACAGGGCTGGTAAGACAACGCTGTTAAAGCTGTTGCTGAGCAATGCTTGCACAGCACCAGGCCTTCTCTGTTTCACACACTGTGCCCCCACCATAATCAACTGGAGTGCTCAGGGAGCTGGGAGGGGGCAGAGCTGAGCAGAGTTGAGCAACACAGCAACACCAAATGATAAGGTCACAGGTCTCTGTGATGCAATCAGTGAGCAGCTGTTAACTGAAAGGATGCTGCTTTGAGCCCATCCACAGACTACACCTGTCTCCCTTACTTTAACCAGGACTCTTCCACCCTGCTTGGTGTCAGTGTTCTTTGGAGGCCTGGTTGGTTGTTGGCCAGTTCACTGTAGATCAGATCAGTTCACTGTAGATCATATCCACCACTGATGTGTACCATACTTACTTTGCTGCTGTCATGCTTGATGCCTTCTTTGCTGTACAAAACCTCCTGTGATTGTTAATGTCCATTTCTGCTTTTACTGTGCTGCATATCACTTTGTGTTGCTTTGCCTGGTAGAGTGGTGATAGAAGCACCGGCTTGTGCCTCATCTGGTGTTTTTGGGCCTTACAGTGCCAATGAGGTGTACTCAGGTGACCATCTCATGGAGAAAATCAACAGTTGCACCTTTTCATTTCCCTCCTTGGAGAGGCACTTCGTTGAGAGAGGAACGAATGGCATTTTTCCCTTCTTCTTCCCCAGGACAGGTCTCTCCCACCTGCTTGTAACACTACTCAGTTCCTTGAATTTCCTCGCATAATCACACTCTTCATATTAGTGTGTGGCTTAGGTTATTGTGAGTAACAATTAACAACTAATTGGGAATGCCACACTGGGATTTGCCCAGAGGCAGTCAATTCTCAGGTGGCATCATGTATGAAAGGAATTGGACATGTGCCTGAGGCTCTTACTGCCTCCAAGTGTTTGGGATTTCATGCCTTAGCAGGAATGTAGTTCCAAGTAATTCATACACCATCTGAAGGAGGGGAGCCTTGCCTGCCCTGATGAAGCACAGGGATTTCCAATGCCGTTTTGGGTCTGGCCCTTGCCTACAGAGCTGCCATCCAGTGCCCTCAAAAGAGAACAAGGGTTCCTGATCAAGGAGCATGCAAAAGGACACTGAGAAGCTCTGAAGCCACCGTAAGTCAAAACTCCCTTAGTTGGAAGTGTCACACCTTTGCTTAACCAGAGACCCAGCCCTCAAATATAATAATTGTGCCTGAACTCAAGAAGAGATGATGGAAGTAGATGTTGATTTGCTTAGAAAGAGAAACAGCAGCTCCTGCTGAGGGGCAAAAGGGGGAAGACTCAAAAGAGGCAGCCTGGCCTGTAGCAGGACAGGAAAGGGAAAATACAAGAATGACAACAGAAGCAAAACTACCTGATGTCCATCTCTGAATGACCTCTTAGGTAGGCAGCAAGGTAAACACATGGCTACCTGGCTGTTCCAGTGTTGGGAAGGTAGGGAAGCTCAGGGGTGTTCACCTCTAGGGATTAAGGGATTGACAAATTTATCATCACAGAGGCAGCCACTCACAAGTCTCTGGAGATGGCTCTTACTGAGCATGAATGCAAAGTGTCTCTTCAGAGAAGATACTGCAAACCAGCAAGGCAAGTAAACTACTGCAGAAGGTATCCAATATCTCTGAGGGAGTGGTAGCAGAGTGGACCACAGTGACCTGACAACAACTAGGTCTCCAAAAATCTCTGTGACATCCAGTGCCTGTGGTCCATATGGCAGAAGATTGTACGGAGCTCAATACACTGGCTCCTGACCATGACAGACTCAATGGCCCAGCTGTGTACAGACAGGCCTGCCACCTGTGGCACTTCAAGGAGAATCCCTCTTCCCCCTCCCCATCAGCCCCACATCTCAGCCATCCATCTCAGTGGAAACACTGTCCCAGCAGACCTGTCAAGTCCCGTTCGGGGCACTGTGGCTCACTGCTGGGGAAATGCAGCCTGGTCTCCCTCGTGATATGCAGAGGTGCTCCCCACAATAGCAACAAGGATGAGTCTTGAGAAATCTGTGGTTCACCCCTTCCCATTGTTCATTTTATTGCTAGAGATTAATTCATACACATTTTTGTGGAAGACAGAGGCTGTGATTTGTGGTTGGAGTAAAGTATAAACTTTCTGGTCACATAAACCAGAGAATTTTATACATTTCTTCAACACATCTTTTAGAAATATTTTGCACTCTGTCTCTAGCATGCTGGAAATTGCCTACAGTAGGTACTTACGTATCCCTAAATTTCTGCAGGAAAGAAAGTAATGTGTATGAATAAAAGGACCCCTTTTTATTTATAGGAATAAAAAAGTAAGGTGAATAGATGAGATTTGTGATCATAGTGTAAACTGTAAAATTAACTAATGAGACTTTTAATGTGGAACCCTGAGCTTGGTGATTCTTAGTGTGCAAACTATAATTACGATATAAAGGCCAAAGTAGTTCTCTAACCAGACCTACAGAATGTAAACTTGCAATGTCAGAGAAGCACAGGCACAAAACATTCATCTTAGAAGGATAATGTGTCCCAAGAAACATACTAAGGAACATTCCCATATATGCAGGGCTTCCACAATTACTCCATTATTTGCTGCTGCATTTCACCCACAGATGTCTGGATTTTCTTTCTCTAATTTCTGTTAAAAAAAAAAAAAACATATTTGGGTATATGTAGCTATGTAGAACTATACAACCCTCCTTTCAGACTCAAAGATTTACTTGAAGGTGAATGCCATTTTAGCTGTATTTCTTGTTAATGGTTTGGCCTTGTTTAATGATTTTGTTTTGGATTTTTTTGTATGTGTGTTGTTTAAGGTTCACTGAACCCATTATGGAGCAGGTAGACTTCTGCTGTGCATCATGATTTTGTGGTAGGGCCAACTAAAAAGTTCCATTGTGGATGTGGCACAATGTACTGTTGAAAACTGTGGATATCCAGTTGCCTCGGCATGAATTTCAGCAGGGAGAAGGTTACTTGAGAGGATAATATGGGTATGGGTTGCCAGCCACATGAAGCCCTCTGTCCAAAGCACCTTGCTTCAAGAGGGAAGACAGAGAGTGAGCTTGTTAGCTTACAGTACATTAGAGGGGCTTAACAGCAACCTTTTCCTGAGCCAGCTGGAACTTCTGCCTGGTTTTCCTGCAGAGATGCCATATGCTGTCTTGTCTGCCCGATACAAAACTGGCAGATCACACAGAAGTTAAATGATTTCCCTCTGTTCAGAAGTTAAATGATTTCCCTCTGCTCAGTATTTTCTCACCAAGGTCACCTCTTGTTGTGAATCTATTTTATATTCAGTCTGTGAGCATGCTGCTTCTAAGTTTGACTCAATGCATTTATTTGGTGTCTTCAATTCCAGAGGCAGGAGACCCCTCTACATCTGGCAGCTGATCTTGGCAATGTGGAGTTGGTGGAAGTGCTGCTGAAGTCAGGCTGCAATCTCAAGACCATGGATAAGGTAAATTGCATTCCTCACACATGTAAGGATTACATGATTTTATTTTTTGTTCTGTAATCTTCCTTACAGAGGTGCATAAAGCACATGTTGTCAGTTGTGTTTGCTAAGTAAAGCTAACTGCAAAGGAAGTCTTCTTTTAATATTGTTATAACTGCAGCTTGCAGAGATCTGATGGTTTTGATGAAGAGCTGTAAAGCTCCCAAGTCCCGTGGTTTGAAGGATAAACACTGCTCCCAGAAACCTTTAATGGAAAATATGGTCTAGGCTTGCAGAGGGGCAAATGGCCTGTGGCTCCTTGTAACTGTGCATCTGCAGCCGGGCTCAGTGCCAGGAGAAACTCAGCTTTACCAGGGGCAGCAATGGAGAGCTTGCCCTTTAGCACTCCAGGTCATCTGAGAATCATGGTGACATTCCAGATCCATTCAGATGGATACTTAAACCCTGAGATGATGTTCTGCCTGAAAGATAGAAACAAAAATGGTAATGGCTGGAAGAAGTACCAAAGCAAAGTTGCTGGGGAAGTGCTTTTGAAAGGACAGAGTACCAAACCCAGTATTTAAATATTTTGCTAAATTACTGCAAGATTGAGTGTTCCATTTTACACTGTTACCACTTTTCTTAAAATTCTCTATGACAGAGTTGAAGGGTTTGATGTTTATTATGAGCAAAATCTTGCCCTTTTGTAACCTGAAAAAGTAACTGTCCTGCAGAAAAGTGTCCTGATGAGAAATGAATCTTTATGGATTAGAATTGTCTTGTTTTGCCCTGGGCTGATATGAGGCCTGGGGCTTTGCGTGGAGGTTGCATGGTTGGTATGTTTTGGGATGCTGAAGTAAGGTGCTGCATTGTAGTTAAGCCTTTCCATTTAGAATCATGCCTACACTTGCTAAAGGGCTGCAGTTCTTGTAGGGATCAATCCAGAATGAAATCTTGTCCACTTTCAACAGCGCCTTAGCCACTGGGAATTTTTTTCAACATATTTGTATTCCAAAGGCAGACACAAAAATTACTTATTGCCTATGACCTTAAGCACCTGCAAGACTTTGAGCAAGGCCATGCCCTGGTATTACAGCAACACTGTTAGAGGTTGTTGTGAGAATTTGGCTCTGAGCCAGTACAAGTTCTGGTACAAGTCACCTTTCTGCATTCTGTTTTATTTCTTGGAGTAGCTTTTTCCTTGCCTATTTGCTGGATGACCCCTGAGACCATGCCACTGCTGGGAACATATGCAAGTACAGTGCCCTTTGAACTGAATTGGTGCTGAGATGTCAAAAATGTTACTGTCCTTGCTGAACAGTAGACAGGAAGAAGGGGAGCCTGCTTGCACAGTATTTTTCTGGCCTCCACGCCCTGGCAGCAGTACTCAGTCTCCAGAGAATGCCATGCATCTGCTCCTGTCAGAGGTCAGGAAATGCACTCTGTCTTTGGTTGTGAGAGCAGAGTGCTCCCCATATGCAGACTGCTGTGCTGCATGTGCATGCAGGATGCCAGCAGTGTCCACACTAGCACAGGGGTACAGAAATACCCCCCTTATCCACTGCCTCTCTCTTCCTCTGTGAAATGCAAAGCACCTCTCCAGAGCTGAGCCCAAGGAGTTCTTGTGGTGTCTGGACTCTTCACATATAAATTATGCCTATGGCTAAAAGATTTAATGAAATGTATGTTCATTGGCTTCCAATGTGATGCTCTTCTAAAAATAGGTTAATTAGAATGATCTTGAGCACAACCAGGAGCTAGAACTCAAAAGGTGTATATTAGGGAACTTTAATCTATCTTGGGAACTGAAATACCTTATAATTTAATTAATGAACCTTCTAATTAAGGGATTGGCTTCTTTTAGATCTATTTTTCTAGAAATGCCTAGCACTTGTTATGTGAAGATTAATCATAATATTTAAATCCCAGGCAGTTGCATTCAGTGCAGATCTGCTGAAAATAGACAATTCCAGAGAAATCCCTTTAGAGCCACCGTGATGCCTGTGCATCACAGTGAAGTGCTGATAGGAGAGATGGGTCCAGGTAGACTGAGCAAACCTCTGCAGCTGGTATTGCAGCAATGGCTTTGAATAACTGTGACTCCTATACCCATGAAGCATCAGCCTGCAGTTGTGCTCCTTTCAGCTCTAATAAGAAAGTAATTTTCTTTTTATTCTGTGAGTCACCTTCTCTTACCATCTAAAACAAGGGTCAGGTTTGCCCTTTAAGTTGGATATTTCCAACTTTGCCAGTCTATCCGTCTGAAATGCCAGTTTAACCATAACATGGGAATCGATTGTATTTGTGGTAGTTTGAATGTGGATACAGTGACTGGAGTGTGCAACCTGGTACAAAGTAAAGGTGTCTGAAAGCAGCAGTACCTCACCAGAACTTTTACTGGGGAGTTTAGTGTGTGAGAAAACTGACCACCTCTGGGCTGAGGTGATAAATCTTATGCAGAGCATAGGACTTTGATTGTAGCTACCCAAAAGCCATAAAAAAGGGATGGGGTCTGTAAACAGTCCCTGTGTTTTTCTTCTATGACACACTTACCCAAGATTATGTTCTGACTCACTGTCCTGCTTTCAGCATGGGAAAACTGCACTAGCCACAGCATCAAGGAGCCATCATGCCCTCATTGTTGATATGATCATTAAAGCAGAAAGGTATTTTGCCATGAAACAGGTAAGAGTCATCTTTCATTAAACACAATATACCTAAGCTAAGGGAAAAGCCAGTTCTGGTTTTGAGGTGTCTTTCGGCTGAGATGGTTCCTTTTGGCAGGCAGGAAGACTGGCTTGATAAACAAAAGTTAAGATTGGGAATGGGAAAGTCTCTAGCCCATCCAGGCTTTATTCCTGACTAACTGTAAAACTGTAAGCAGATCTTAGCACTTTCCTGCCTTGTGCTCTACACATAAAGGGATGGAGAGAGATTCTAGGCCAAATCCAAACTGTGCCATCAGTACCATGGCTGGGATAACATGGATCCATGTTGATTTCTGGATCCTTTGGTACAGTAAAATCTATGCTTGAAAATAGCAGAGTGGAGATGTCTGTGATTCCTTTGCTAGCAAGAGCTCAGCTACTTTAACAGAAGCTCCTTCCCTTTCCCTTGTGTGTTAATTATAAAATTAAATCAATGAGAAGGAAAAGAACTTCACAACAAGTGTGAATGACATGGCTTAGGTTGTCTGAACTTCTCACCTTCTTTCCCTGGTTGTTCATTAAATGTCCTCTGCATAGTGATGGGCTTCTCTAAAGGGCTACAAGTAACTGCCATATCAATTTGTGATTTCATTCTCACTCCTGCTTCCTGCTGAGTTAGTGTATAAGTGTATAAGCATACTGATCCTGTCCCAGGTACAGGGATTAGCTGGTTTTACCACCCCAATCCTGCCCTGAGTGGCCAAATCCATGACACTAATGTTACAGGGCTGGAAAATCACAGATCTAGATTAATTATTGCAAAAAAAGCCTCCATGAACACTCTGTATTGTACATTTGATTTGCACCAGTTCAGCTAGAATTGTCAGGTACATTAATTGTTTCTTTCAGTCTAAAGAGAAATTAGAAGTAGTCTTGCCACAGAAGACATGAAAGTCTGACAGCAGTAAGCCCATAATATTCTCAACCTCTTGGCATTGTTCACTGAATTTTCTGAAGAGAAGGTGTTAAGCAGATGCTTTTCTGCAGAAGCACCAGTGATGTTGGGAAATACAAATATAAGTATTTGTATCCTGTTGCCTGAAGCTGAGAGCACAGCTTTTGGAACAGCTTAAATCTTATGGCTATGGAATATGATGGTGGTGGAGTTACCATACTGGAACTACAGCATTTTGAACCATTATTTTAAGGACCGTGTTTTTGTTACATTCAGCTGACTTGTCACTTGTGACAAAGCATTAGTTACAAAAGGAAATGTCACGTAGCTGAGAGGAACGGGCACATGATACTAAAGTGTGACTGTCATCTCTCTGTTTGCCCTCTTCTCTATTTATCACTTCTACACAACCCTTCCCTGTCATTGTCTAGGCTGGGTTTGACTGGATTTGAGGGCAGCTGTTACTATTCCACCTTGCTGTTGCCTCAAAACACCCTTAGCAGCAAAGGGAAGCTGTGCTGCTGCAAAGGGGTTTTCTTTGTTTGCTTGAGATTTTTTTCCTGTGGCTTTTTTTTTTTTTAATTAAACATCATAAGCAAATGATCTAGCCAGAGAGACCCTGAAGCTGTCCTGTAGAATGTCCTAAACTTTACCTTGCATGTGTTAAGAAGCAGGAAATAAAGTCTGCATCAGATGAATGGAACCAAAAATACACGACAATGCTTAGTTACTGAACTGTGACTTTTTTTCTCTGTAAGTCTCTTGTGAGGTTAGGAAATAACCCTGCTGTATTTTTCTGAATTTAATTTGGAATGAAGCACTTTATGCTTAGTATTTTTAAAATGTGGCCTACTGCCATTTCCTTTTTTGCTTAGTATCTGCTTTGTCATCCTCTATCAAATTTGTGAAGAATTTTTTGCCCTTGAAGATTTACTTGAAACAGGACTAGTACATAAACGTAATGAAATACAGAAATAGCTGGAGCATACCTACCTAGGAATGTTCCTGGACACAGCTTAGCTAGGACTGAAATCACTGATTGACATGGTTTTTGCCCAAAAGGTGCCCAAACAAGAGGTAAGTCTATCACTCCTGTTCCAGGTGAGCCATGCATACAGTAGGAGCATCACTTTTAATCGGGAGGGTAAAATCCATGTGGTTTTGGTTTCTGTCTGATTTTACTTCTGCAGGAATGAAACCAGATCCATGCTCAACACACATGTGCACATTGGTGTTTTGGAGTCCCTGTGATAAACCTAATGGCTGATGGTACCAGCAAAGGATCTGGAAGTCCACACTGCAGCCCAGTGAAGCTGACAGGGCAGAGGCAGGAACAGGTTGAGAGGCGCTGTGCCCATGGTGCCTACCCTCTCCCCAGGGAAAGATTAGTGCTTTGAGAAGCAAGAGGAAAGGTTAAGAAGCGTGCCTGAAACCCAGCTGTGTCTTAAACATGACATAGACAGAACCAAGCAGCACAGCACTGCTGACACAACAGTTGCTGTTACTTTGCTTTTGTGTATCAAGTACCAAAGTGGCTTATTTTGCAATTAGCTTACTAATACATAGCAACAAACACTGAAACTCTTTGTTTCAGCTCTGTTTCTATGAGCAATACACAGTTCCTTTACAGGAACAGAGTAAATCTGTCAGCAGCTAAATCTGTACAGGGCCTCACTGAGCAAAGATTCTCAGCTCTGTTACACAATTTATCACCTGCTTTCTTTTTCAGACACATCTAGCTCATAGTGGTAATGGGTCAGACGTCAGCGTGACCTTCAAACAAGATCACAGCACACAGACCAAGCAAATCCGCTCCTCCCTTTGGAATCTAGCATACAACCAGTTAAAGCCCCATGAATGGAAAAAACTGGCTGTGTTCTGGAAGTTCACAGATGAACAAATTAAAGCTATTGAAGAACAGTGGACAGGTAACAATATCTGAATGGCCAGACACAATATATAGGATAAAAAAACCCCACAAGGCAGTGTTCTTTTTAAACTATGTGAGTATCCCATAGTGAAGGGGTACCAGCCTTGTCCCTGGTTCCTGGGAAGCAGTGCTGTAGCAGTACAGGACACTCTGCTCTACCTCTTGGCCTGAAGGAACCTTCCTCTTTGGAGATCAAAACTGGAGGCCATGAGCATCATGGAAGATTCTTGGGGGTCATGTTGCAAGTGAGGACCTGGGGAACCTCATGACACAAAGCAATTTGGCTCAGACTCTGCACAGCTGCCATTAAACAGGAGTTTCTGGCTTCAGGCCTCTCAAATGCTGGGAAGACAGTGCTTCTGCAGCACATATTGTACTTGTTACTACTACTCCAGGGTATATTTCCACAGCTTGGGGAAAAATGAAAGGAAAATTCCATTTTAAGGTGTATTACATGGTTTTTATGTCTTAATACTAGCATTAAGATAAAACGAGATTTTTTTTTAAACTTTTGTAAGCTTCAGTCTTCATTTTTCTGCTGGATGAGAAATGTAATAAGAGTAAAGGAGTAAGTTTAAAACCTCTTGGAACTTCTAAAGTGCAAAAGCACAAAATACACTCTTTTCCAGCATATTGAACAAATATTTTGTGTATTGCATAGGGAAAAAAAGTTACAAGGAACATGGGAACAGAGTGTTGCTCATCTGGTTACACGGTACATTACTGGCTCAGCAGAATCCTGTTAAACATTTGTATGAAGATCTGGTGGAAGCAGGACTTCAGCCTTTAGCTGGTAAGTTGATACAGAGCACATTAGAGTGTCCTCTATGAGAGTGCACTGCCATGCTGAGCTCCCTGCTGGTGCTGGGAAGCTGTGGCCAGGGCAGGGGTGGAGGACACTTTCTTCTTGTTGGGACTGCCCTTCCTGAGGGCTAAGGCTGCTTGAGAAAAAGCATTTATGTCAGACTTAAGGTTTCTAAAGGCAGACATGTGCAAACCTTGCTTGCCTCATCTCCTGCACACACAGGTAAATTGTGACTGGCCATCCTTCAGTTAGTCTGAACTTGTGCAAAGCAGAGCACACCAATCAAGTGTTTTCTCTTACTTTACAGAGAAGATCAGAGCTTCAATTAGCATTGGCATGGACTCCAGAAAATGTCTCATTTCATGAGTTCATCAACAAAACATGGCATATATGATGGAATTACATGCCAGAAGGAAAGTGGCTTTCAAATATCTTTTGGGAAACAAAAAACATACTTTGAAGTTGCACAACTTTTTCCACCCTAGAAGAACTTGCACTCCTGAAGTTGTTACTTTTTTCTCAAATGCTTGCTAAATAGAAATGTAAAACATTTAAGAATGAATGGCTGAGTGGTAGCTTATAACTGCTAAGCAAGATTCACTACTTACAATTTCTACATCTGACCTAACACTGATAAAGTAATTCTGTATTGGAAATGCAAATTAAGCTACTTTGTGTTTGATGTGAAATGTAAATAAGATGTTTTCTACATGAAAAAAATTAAATATAGTAAGTGAAAGTTATATGTATAAATCAATTAACACCTGGCAAACAACTTGGCATCTGGCCTCATTTGGGATTCAGGTTTTTATAATTCTTGCTAGGATATGAAAAATCTTTCTACTGCGGCATTTGATTTATGTAGTGAAGAAACACAAAAATGTCATGTCTAAACACCACATGTGGCTGCAGAATTTTCTATCATGGCATAACACTGTATACATACCCTCAAAAGAGCATTCACACATCTAGCAATTATTTACTTATTTCTTGTTTATATCTTGAATTATACTTGCTGACTGTGTTTAAAGGTTTTCTTACTACTGAATACATTTAATATCTGAAAAATTATGTAAATGTCTGTTTTAGTGATCTTTTTTATAACATAGCAATAGTTTTATCAGGTAATGGAGGAATTGAATTGCCTTTTCTGTTTGCATATAGCTAGCATTATTTTGTTCTGAATCCTACTGTTTGTACTAAAAAAGTGATCTGATCTTAGACTGAAGTCTTACTCCAAACTGTCCTCCTGTTTGCAATCTTCCTTGACTCTGCTGCAGGAATATGAAGAACACACCAGTAAATCATAAAGTTTTGGAATTAGGGACCTAAAGTAGAGATGCTTGGATTCCTCAAGTTCTGCAACATTAGCTTGCAAAATTAAAATGTTTAAGAATTTGATGGACTGGGTACCTCACCTTGCCTAAATTGGACCCTGGGTGTGGAGGATGCTACCCTGCTGTTCTTCATTTACATACACTGTTGCAGGATATAATTAAAGTGCATGTCAGCTATCCTTACATGCATAAGCAAGTAAAAGTGTAAGAAAAAAAATTCATTTTCTCTTGAACATAGATGTTACTATCATTGGGATTAAACAAGAGATTCAGACAAAAATCACATTGTATCCTTTATTTAAAAAGTGTGCTAAAGATTTCTTAAATAAAAAGTGTTTTTCTTAATAATAAAAAGTTTGGAGGTAGAACAACAAGCTCAAGCTCTTTTTTCCCCTCCAGGTTTTATTATAAAAGCACTTTCACTTAAAAAACCTTCCTTTTTTAGAAAAGGGTAAAAACATGATATGTACTTTAGGCCTTACTGCATCAAATCTGAAAGGACGGGGAAGTGGTACCTTGATTAAAAACCCCTACTGGTGAGAAAGATAGTCAGTCAGTCAACAACTTTTATTGACTGAACACTGGTATGAGTTTGGCTCTGAAGCACTCGCCCGGCTTGTCCTGCAGGTCTCGCAGAGGTAGAGCCAGAAGAGTGAAGCACAGTTCGAGGATACTTAGCAGCAGTGGCTTGTGATATGGTTTGCTGAAAAGTAATCAGATACATCAAAACACTTAATGACACAAAACATTCACATTAAAATAGCTCTAGGTGAGCTGTAGTTTAAAAAGAAAGACCTGCAACCTAACAAACTGAAATACACTTTTCAAGAAAGAAAAAAATAAATGGTCATTTAACAGAAAGAGGAAGATTTTTTCCTTTCTTATCTGTAATACACTTTTTGGAATACAAAGTGCTAAACTTCCAATTAATTATGTATTTTGAGCTTTTATCATCTCAGTCTTATTTCAAGGTTGGTTTGTTTTAGTATTTTACCATACTGTTCACAATTTTCCCCTGTAGTGCCAATTTTCCTTTTGAAGTATTTGCTATAAGGCAGTCCCTGAAAGATCTTTGAAAATAAAAGGTTTGCAATTTTATTAAGAAGTAATTTTCTGCCCATAAAACTAGCCACCTTAGTGTAATAAACCATATTCATTCTGCTCTTTATCAAAGTAAATTCTTTTCCCTCTCAAATTAACTCAAGACAAACACTTAAGATTTATATTTGCAGAACTGGTATACAGAATGTATCTCCAGGGCTGTCACAGTTATTACATTTTTGGAAGTCAGCTTTTGTAAACAGTAGTTCAGGTGCTTTCCTTGTCACACTAGTCACAAAATCTGAATCCAGAAATTGTTCTTAATGAAATAATTACCACACTGAATCTCTAAACTCCTAAGAACATAAAATTTTAACATTAATTTCTGCTTAGGAACCCAAATTCTTGAATTCTTCTATGTGCAGGAAGCCACATGGCTGTGAGTCACAGGAGGAGATGGGGGCCTTTTCTGCTTTTGCTACTACCATGATGGTGAGGAGATTGAGGGTATTTGGGGAGCTGGGAAGAGACAGAGCCAGGACAGGTGACCCAAACTGACCAAAGGGATATTCCAGACCATGTGGCACCAAGCTCAGTGTATAAAGTGGGGACAAGAAGCAGAAAGGGGGGGACACTTGTGGTAATGTCAATTGTCTTCCCAAGTAACCATTTTGCATGATGGGCCCTGGCTCTCCTGTAGATGGCTGAACACCAGCCAGTGCATGGGAAGCACTGAATTAACTCCTTGGTTTGTTTGCTTGTGTGCACTTGTGTGCAAGACACTGCTTGTGTGCAAAGCCTTTGCTTTCCCTATTACACTGTCTTTTTCTCAACCCATAAGTTCTCCTGCTTTCACCCTTCTGATTCTCTCTGTTGGGGGAGTGAGTGAGTGGCTGTGTGGGGCTTGGCTGCTGCCTGGGGTTAAACCATGACATCTCCTCACCAGTGCCTTCTACACAAAGACACAAGGTACTGTTTGCTGTTTTCAACAGGCCTAAAGTCTGAGCTTTGTCTAATACCTCTTCACAAGGTAATTTTCTTCAAACTATTTCGAGATGTGTTGTAATAAAAATACTTTAAGAACATAAATACACAATCTGATTTACCTGAGTGACTGGATGATGCTTCTCAACAATAACTGAACTCATGGGTGGAGCAACTCCCATCACTGCTAAACTCCCAGAAGCTCTGGATTTTTGTCCCATATCAGCTCGGCCTGTGATTCGAGCAGTGATTGTTCTTCCTGCTTTCTGTTGTGCAGATGTTATTACTTTTGGCATGGACTATAAAAAAATTAAATATTAATTAGTAAAAAATTCTAAACATAATATTTACAATGCTAGGTGTTTCTGCTCAGTTTTATCTACCATATGCCTAAATGGAACATGTGATGTTGCAGGTAATCCAATTACATTACACAGGACTGAATTTGCTCCACCTGGCTGCAACCAGGATTACCCCATTTTTTCTACTTGTGTGATAGCATTTCAAGTAAATTACTTCTGTTCTGAGGGAAATAAGACTAATTTGACAGAAATCAAGAAGCATGGATAGTTTAGCTTTGCTTGCTGACTTCATGCTTGAGTGACAGCTGAAGGTACTTCCATCATTGTGGAAAACCTTTCTAGCAATGACAGAGCAGATAATAAAAAGCTCCCATGCATACAAAAATGCATCTTTCTCTGACAGCTGATAGCAAACTGTGTCAAATATGGAAAAGAAAGGAGGGCAGTTTAGCACGAAGCACAGAAGAGGGAATGAGGGAAAAATTTCCAAGAGCAGGATAATGAGACAAGGATATGAGCACTTTCCATAACAAAAGTCAAACACAAATTGTTCCTGTTGCACTATACCTGAGTGCACTCTTCTATTCTTCACTTTGCCACACTGCCCTACCTAGAAATAGAATTTAAAACTGCTCCTAGCATAAATGAGTTTATGTAACATAAATGAGCATTTTCAACCTAGTGTCTTCATACTGCTAGGTAAACTCTATGGCAGTGTCCTCAACTACATACCTGTGTTGCTCTGAGAAATGCACAAATAACAATACCCAAACTAATATTTGTTATGATTATGTCCTAAAAGAAGAAAAAAAGTTAACTTTAGCATGTTACCAGTTTTTGCGTTGATGTCACACCAGATCCTGATGTCGTGCTAGTGATGATAACTGGAGAATCAGAATCTAGCCTGGTCTCAGGAGTGCTTGCATGAGCCAGATGGCAACAAAACTGAAATGAAACCAGAGTTTATACAGAATGAGTACTACTTTCTAGAAAATACAGTTTTGCTCCTTAGATAGCCAGTTTTTTCACTATTCCAATTACCTTTTTAATTGAAATGTCTTTGCATATATTTTACCTCTAGTTTACTGTTTATTGTCTAATATAAAATTACTTGTCTAAAAATTGTAGAAATGGTGTGAATAACATTTGTTACTATTAGAATGAAAAGTCAAGAGACAGGCATGCACATCATCTCTGTTCTAACCTACTCTCTAGCATGATACTGTTTTACAGTGGTAAAGTTTTGAGGATGACTCCAGGGCAGGTCCAAAACAACCATGCTACTAGATTATGATCTGGCTAAGTTGGTATGACAGGACAATAAGCTGAGTTCCCTCAATGTCTGTATGTGTTACCCTCCTAAAAAAGGAGTCTGAAGTCAAGCCAGCTTTTCATCTTTTGAGAATATACTAAATTCAGGTTTATTACAAAAAACCCTCTTAACAGCTTTTTTTCCAGAAAGAACCTTAAGAGAGCAAATTATATTTATTGTAGTGACCTTGTCTTTGTTAGTTTAATGCATTTTCACTAAAATAAAAAAGAGCTTAATGAAAGTGCAGCAAGCCACAGCAGCTTTGTCCCATTCACAGTGCAGTCTGAACACATCTGAACTCTCTTCAAAAAAGCGCCAATCAAGGTATTTCTCTTTTGTCACTAGGAAATACAGTTCTGTTCCAGCTACATGCTTACCATGTTTTCCACCTGAACAGCAGCTGCTGGTGGAGGTGGTGGTGAGGGTTGATTATATTGTGAAGGAGATGGCCTTCCTGCACCAGTGGTCGCATGATCATTTCTTCTGCTTCCTACATCTATTATTAGAAACAAAAAGTAATGGGATAAGCACATAATCTAGCTAACCCTAAGGGGTGGGGATATGGGGGAAGATAAGTTACAACGAAAATTTTAATATTTCTTTGGGATTTCTGTATAATCTAATAAAAAAGAGCAGGCTGTTCTTTATAGAGGTAGGCAGACAGATATAAACAAACATTCCTGTATTTTACCCTCTTTTGAGATGCTTATAAATGTTTTTAAAGGGACTTGTTTCTCTATGTCTCAACATTTCTGTGGCACATCTCTCCTACTTGTAGTGCAGAGAACTGAGGTTCTTCCTACTGCTTGGCAAAACTAAAATCAGTGTGCAAGTGGTGCTCTTATCCTAAGAGAGAAAATCCAGTTTAGGTAGTAAAACACAAAGGTCATTTGCTCATTCCAGGAACTAGAGTGACACCATGTGGTAGTTGTGTTTGGTTTTTTAAATTAGCTGAAATAAGAAGGAAAAATAAAAGGAAAGTGCTTCAAATCTGTGCAATACTTATAGATGTCAAGAGTCAAAGGGTACTAGAATGTGCATTTTCTACATATCTATGTGTGTACACACACATTAAGCTTAAGCACAGGCAGGACCAATGCAGAGTTATAGATCAGTAAGATCTGATCTATTTTACTGGAGGAAAACAGTATTAGGAGTTTTATAAGCAAAAACTTATGAATTCCTGTGGCGTCAGTGTTCTTTTAAATACATGAAGAGGTTAAAATAATCTTAATATACTACTAAGTAAAAAAAAAGTCATCAAATTAGGCAGGTAACTTTAACACCATCAACACTGACACTAAATATTATGAAGCCATCAAGTTTGAGACACATGCACACTATTAATAAATACACTGTAATGATATATGATATGTATTTTACCTGTAGATTTTGTGTATATTAAATGTATATTAAAATAACCAAATAATAAATTTGTAAAGGGGTGAAATTCTGCATTTTATGTCCAGTGACAGTAGGTGGCACTGCAGTGTTCATATAAATTTATAATTGCTGACTGGCACATTGAAGTTTTGATGTCCACAGATCAAAAGACTAGAAACAAATCACAATAATCTTCTCTGATGTTTGCAGTCCTCCAGTGTCCTAATCACTGTTCTACCTGATTAAGAATGCGGATCAACAGTTGTTCAACCATATTAAACAATTATGTAACTAACTTCATTAAAACCACCATATGGCTGTAAGGAAAACACAGTATGATGCCTGGGGCAGGGAAGAAGATAGTACCAGAGGTGGTGGAAGCTGATGACCTGCTCAGGACTGAGGACAAAAGAGTCTGTGAAATGTTATGAAGCCTGATTAAAAAGCATAATAGTGGACACACAAATAAATGAGTTATGGGTACCCTAACATGCAGCACAACAAAATCTTTAGGTGTTGTGCTGGTGTAGAGTATCAGTTCCAGCTTCTTAGTAAAAATCAAGCAAAATTTTGGGTCCATGAAAATAAAGGGTTGGTCACAACTATTATAGAGCTCAGTTTTCTTTATTTCCTTACTACTTACTCTCATTTTTATAGGTCTACAGAAACAATGCTTTCACACCAGTCAATAAATCTTCATTATTAGGGAGACCTGGTTTCTGTTGCATGTTTTTTTAAAACAACAGACAAACAAATAAAAGATAATGCTTCAAGATAGAATAATTCTTAATTAATAACACAGTGAAAAATAAACTACTTGGGAAATGCCCTGTAATTATATTCCCAAACCCAGTACCTTCAAAAAATCATTCATTCTTAACCTTCTACCAATACTGATCCTAAATTTTTACTAGCACACAGCTACACTTTGCTAATGTCATATTAATTTCCTAAGCAACTGCACAAATACCACTTTATGTTAAACAGGCTTAGACAGCTGCTCAGGTAAATATCTGCTTACATCTTCTTCAGGTTTTTATTTTCTCTATCTACCTTTTTTGGTGAAGAATTTCTCTAAAGTAGTTCAGAAACTTCTGTATAAGATTGCTAAATTTAGCAACTGAAGTTACTTGTCTAAGGCTATTAATCACTGCCAATACAGATAGCTGTTGAGCCACACATAGCTGTGGCACTCCTGCTGGCACAGCTATTTTCTCTTTAACCTAGGTTGCTCCACCAGCACAATTATGTTCCTACTGCTACGGATTGTCTCAGTCTGAGAGAGTGATTTCATTGTATCTGTAAGCATGTGTAGCACTTCCCTGTGTAGCTGCACAGGTTTTACAGGTATGCTGCTGATAAAAATAGACTGGTGTTTCCTGTTCTGGCATGGAGTTACATCTAAATACAGAACCTGAGAGATTTGCTTGCCCTTTTTACATTCAAAAGCAGGATTAAGAAAGAAGGGAGAGCTGTCTGGGAAAAGCTGATTCATGGCACACTGAGATGCCAGAGTAAAAAGGAATTTTCAGGGTTTTGTCTAAATGCTCCATAATCTGGTGTTTTAAGAAGTTTGCCACCTTTGACTTCCTTTCCTGCCTTCATCTGCAATTTCCCACTTTGCCAGCAATGTGGGATGAAGAGAACATGTTCCTCCTTTCAGCTACAGCTGTATGAAGTCCAGCCTCAAAGTACTTCTCAACATATTCAACAACGTTTTAAAGCAATAAAAGTTTAATAAACTCTGTATTGCCAAAAATTCTCAAATAAAAAAAAAAAAAAGAGAAAAGGAACTCCATTAAAACAAACAAACAAAAAATCCCAAACAAATCCAACAAAAATGCACGCACGCTACCAGATTAAACCTGCTAGTCATACTAACCAGGATCTGGCCTACTGTCCTTGCTCTGAAACATGGTCATTGCTTCCAGATTCAAAGCACATACACCACGCATAAAGGCTTTCTTCATGGTGTCTTCATACTGATCTCTTTCAGTATGCAGTCGCAGAAGCTCAGATCTTGTCAGTTCCAAAGCAGCAGTTAACTACAAAACAGATTAAGGAAACAAGTCTCTCTTACTTCTCAATGCAAACTACAAACATATTCATCAATTAATTTTAAAAAGAATATACTATATTTACAAAGACAGAGGTTCTCACTTGAAAACCTCTGCTTCACCAGAGATGAACAGCTCATTGTAGTTCCTTTGTAGTACAGCACAATATTAATAATATAGCATATCAAGGAGAAGAGTATTCAAAAGATATAGGACTGCCAGACTCTACCTAAGCAGAAATACATCTTTGCAAGCTTTTGTGTTTTAGAAATTGGCATCTGGCACAACCCAGATCTCTGCAGAAATATGGGTTCATTCAACAGAAGAGCAAGTCTTCTCTGATGATGATTTAAGTATAAGGGTAAATTTTCATCACCAGTGTCTCTTCTCTAGATACTGTAAAAGACTAAAAAGGCTGAGAAAAGATCAGATCAAGTTGCTACTTATGGTTTTTGTGCTGTTAAGACATATTTGGTAAGCCTGTTCTTAAAATTCTAGGTTTAATTTCTTGCTGAAATACAAACCTCTTAAAAATTATATTTTAAAACTGATTACTTAGCATGCACCAATGCAGAGGTTGACAATTTCACCTCAAGCTCTGAAAATTCTTTAACAAGCTTAATCAGCAAGCTAAAGAAAAATCAAACTTAATTTCAGCCTTTAACAGAATAGCTATTACAGAAAAAAAATAAGGTACTCATCATGATCATTCAAAGTAATAATGGTCTTCTATTTGCATTGTCTCCTTCATTAAGACCTCAAAATGCATAGCCCATAGTAACAGAATGCTGTTAGAAAACAAATGGCATTCCCATTAGTAGGCAAACAGAGATTTGCCTTATTTCAGGAAGGTACAACTTATTTCATCTGTGCATGCACACTGGCAACATTTTATATCAGATGCAGGGAAAAAAAGGCATGTCTAAAAACATTACAAAGATCTTAGATCCATTCAGATCTTCTTGCATACTTGGGAGTTCTGTTCTACTGGAAAATACTCATGTTTGATAGGTTTGCTGAGAAAGACACACTTTGGAGGAACAGGGGTTGGGAGTCAAGGAGAAAAAGAAGAAAAAAAATTGATTTTACCTCTGCAATTTTTGCTTCAAAATCATTGGTGAGCTGAATGCACACATCTTCTGCCTTTAACTGACAGGCTCTTGCTACTTTGTCTTTCCATTTTTCTTCACTAACAGAGCGCCAGGCGGCCCACACTTTCTTCATCAAAGCTGTCTGGAAATGTTTATCTGCCATTCGAATTGCATATTCCTTAGGAAGTAAACACAAACACATCATAAAAAAGTTCTGGGTTGATAAAAAGCTCAGTACTTTACTGTGGTTGCTTGTTTTACAGCTTATTACACAGACCACAGTAGGAACCCCTTAACTGAGTTACAGGTCCTGCAGTGAAGTGTTACACAAGGAGCATCAGCTGTTCAGTGCACATGTGCCAATGCACATTACTGTCCTCACCATGAGAAACTGTGTTTGTGAGCTCCTAGGCTACACACAACAGTGGTCTTACTCCTAGTTTAATGACACCAAACAACAATCTCACATACCCACTGTAAACAGACATATGAAGCCATTTGTTGGGTATGTGGCACATTTGGATTCACTACAGGAATCATATAAAACCTGCAGTCAAAAAGATTGCAGGTAGTTATCATAAAACTTACATTTTGAATAAATTTAGACTTCAGGATTGTTTAAAAACTACTTTAAAACAACTCTACTATTCTACTCTATTTCAAAATAGTCAGCAGACAACAGATTTTTTTCCATTCCAGAGAGTATTTTGACAGCAACACTCCTTTTAGAACTGATCTTTTCAAACTGTTATTTGACATTGTCAAACACATCAAAATAGAAACACCATGATTTCTTCAAACTGTAAAAAGAACTGCAGTAGCTCTGACTCTTTTGAGTTCAGAGGTTTAATTTTCACTGCATTTTGATTTTGTGCACATACCTCTTGTTTGGCTTTAACATGCTGAATCCGCCACAGTGTAAACTTTCTCATCAACGTTACTCTCTCCTTTTGCTTTTCTAATGCTTGGGTCAAGTTAGTAATTACCTGCAAAAATATTCATTAACACTATTTCATTATCTATGATCACTGTAAGATCAAAGATAATGTACTTTATGTCTCACTTATTTTTCACTTACAGCACTTGCTTTTAACAGATGCTTTCTACTGAAACTTCCCCTTACTCTAATCAAGTAAGAAACAACAATCAAAGTTCAAATGAGAAGTAAAATTCCCGTGGCTTTGACATTCAGATTGTGGCACTTCCATTGTGTAGTTTTAGGAAAAGTTCGACTCGATTGTTATTTTGTCCTACATTTGGTGGTTTCTGAACATTATATTGCATTTCTCATAATTAAATGTTACCACAGCATAACATCAGAAGAACTTCTTATTTCAAAGAGACTTTTAATAAATCAGAAACATTTATATTAGAAGTTTGTTTCACTTGTCTGAAGAGAATAAACAAGCTAAGTTGCTGCTATAAACCAGAAAAACCTTATTAGAAATTGTTACTCTCTTTAGAAGTTCTCATGAAAGATAGTATATAAACTTAAAGCAATTAAAACATTTCAGAGGCAAGATGTCATACTGGACAGAGACTGCAACCCAGCAATCTCTAAATTTAATGAGTACACATGAAGAGCTGAGGTTCCCCAACTAAAAATTAAGCCAGGTACGATGCAAATTTGGTAGACCAAATCTGAATATTACTCCCTACTTCTGCCTAACTTCTTAAGCTAGATTCTGCCATCAGCCATATATGAGCAACTCCAATGGTCAACAGTGGGACTTTGGGGAATAATGCAAAGTTATCTTGGGACTTTGGGGAATAATGCAAAGTTATTTTAACTACTGCATAAACATTGTTGAGAACAACATTTTATGACAATACATGCTAGCATATGTTAACATTATATTGCATTTGTTACAAGTAATAATTATTGAATATACACTAATTAAATGAATGATAACTAAAATTAAAATAGAAAACAAATTAAATTGATATGTTAATTACTTTTGTTGAAAAAGTATCATAAAAATCAATTTTCAATGCTGCATACATACTGTTACACATTAGAAGTCTTAGCCTAAGTCTATTTTTGTTAATTAGCATATTTTTGCTAATTAAATAAATTAGGTTCTTATTACACATTGTAAATCTTAAATGCTTTACAACGTGTAATAATAATCTAGTACTTGTAATATTTGTTGGGCTGATGGACCTTGGTTTATGTCCATATGAGGATACAGCAGATTTCATAATTATGGAATGATATGCAGAAGCATGGAAGCACTGCCACCTTCCATTCAGGAGGGAGCAATAGTAATTTTCTATTCAAATGTTTGGGTTTTTTTCCTTAGAATCAGAACTTTAAAATTGGCTGAAGAAACAATTTCTTTGGCAGCAAAAAATGAAATAGAGCTTTCAAAGTATCACTGAGAATTATTGCTCAGTCATTGAGCTATGGCTATCATTGTATGTCAGTCATTAAATAAGACTGACATACAATGATAGCCAATAGAATTAGATGTTTGAAAGGTATAGGCTGAAATAGCCATGCTCAAGGTACTAGTTACATGGTATAAGACTAATCCAGTTATTGTAATGTTACAACATTTATATTGGCTTGGTCTTTAAGATTAGTCTGTTTTCTAAACGAACACAGAACACTATCTTCATTCACATTTTAACTCCTGTAATGTATGTTTTTTGAAAATGTAAGTAGGAATTAGAAACTCAAACTCCATTAAGTGTTCTCAAGTACTAGGAAATATGTTCAGGGTAGCAGAAAGAAAACTCATTTATGTTGTGATTGCAAAACTGCCAAGATTTTATATCCACTTTCACACTTCTATTTAATTTTCAGGTTGTTTGCACTGTTGCCAGCAGGAAAGTGTAAACCAGAGATTCCAAATGTCCAATCTTAAGAATATGTACAAAAGTCGAATTCCTAAGAATCTTAAAATAGAGGCTCCTCAACATTTAAAACTGAGGAAAACCAATCTAATAATTGAAAATTTAGAGGCTTTTGAAATATAAGAGCTAATAAACTCACCTACGCCTGTGTGAGTTCTTCATGAAATATATGAGAAACAAGACTAGACTCTAGATTTAAGAAACAAACAATGCAAAATATAGCACATATGATGTGCTTTCATTGTTAGTATAGACAACTCTATTAGCAATCATGATTATTTTTCTACTATACAGTCTGAATGTATTTACTTCTCTATGTTACTTGCTTAAAAAAAATGTTGTTCAAAGAGATGGACCAAAAAATTTAGTGTAGATATTTTTAAACAGAGAGGAACTGTTAAAATATAAAATTGAGTTACTACCTCATCTTTCCTGCTAATAGAGATTTCATAAGTATGAAGTAACTCTTTCAGGTTTTCCATCTCATTCTGCAGTTGTTTCACTTGTGCGTCATGTTTCTCTTTCTCTTGTCTCATTTGAAGCTTGTGTTGTTGAATCAAATTAAGTTCCCAATTTTTCAGTTCAGTCAGAATATTTGTCTGAAAAGTTAAAAGGATGACAGTAATGCAATGAGTTTATTTCCTCTCCATAATTTTAATCTTAAAATACTTAGCAATTAAGGAGACACAAATATTTGCAGTGATACCTTCATTACACAGGCTGTGCACAGCTGTATTACCAGAAAAAATGAGCTATTGAATCATGATATCAGAACATCCCTAATGGAGACAGTTATTCCAAAGTTTTTTGAAAAAACATATTCTGTGCTACACATGCTTATGTACAATATGCAGTAACAACAAAAAATACCATTCTCCCAACAATCACACTGAAACTTCTCCAGCACTAACTCTACAATACAATGATATCTGTGAATGATTTTTAAGGATTCCATACAATATAAATACCTTAAGACTTCCACTCCAGAGATCAACTATATTTTCTATTTGAGTGACTTTTCCATCTAGTGAAGTTAATTCAGTCACTGTGGTTTTGCTGACTTCTCCTGGACCGTGTGTGGAAGAAGTTGCTTCTGGAAGAGCAGGTTGTTCCATACCAGCCTGCTTCACTGATGTTGAGACTGAAAATGAAACAGGAGAATAAGAACTGACACTCTGGAAAGGCTGACTGGTCCACATTTTGGATAGAAGTCAGAAGACAGACAATGGTAAAAAGGAAATAAAATATTTATGACACCAGAAATGTCCTTTACCCACATAAGAAAAACCAATCCAATTTTAATACATGCTTTCTGGACACACATATTTAAGCTGACAATCCAATTGTAACATAAGTAAATTCAAAAGTAATGCTCCCTTAAAATACAGTATCTTAATATAAGTTAATTTGAAAGAGAATGATCACAGCAACCACCAAAAATACAGCCAGAAATAACATCTCTAAGTGAAGGCTGCTTGACAATCAACATCGCAGGTAAACAATCTACTAACTTCTGCCTTTTTTCTCAATGAGCCTGTAAACACCTGAGGTCTGTGCTGTTCCTTTACAAATTCACAAAGTAGCCTGTGGATATATTTTGATGTTAATACGTTCCTGCATCCATTTTTCTTAAAGCCTTAAATTTGTTAATCTAATTAGCGTTCAAGCAATTTGAGAAAGGACATATCTACTATTAATTTATATAGTACCTTATACAACAAATCCTCACTTTCAGGAGGTGTGGTACCACTAAAGCTAGTTTGCATGCATTTGAGCTGATAATAAAGTTAATATTTAAGTAAACTTGGGAAGTAAAATATTGTTTTATATTTAGTTATTCCTTACAGAAAATTTGTTATTTGAGTTGACAACTGAATAAAAGAAAATTAGAAGAGGTATTAGCAGATTCCTGCTAATTGCAAAAAACACAATAACTTCAAAAAAACACTCTTTTTTCATAAACAGAGAAAACCTCCAACATTTTAGTCTTCACTTCTGAAAACAAGTATTGTCTGATGGGTACTATTTTTTGATTCAACCAAGAAGAAATAAGCTTATCTGTCACAAAGCAGTACCTTCAGTGGACACTAGAAAAGTGTGTTTCGAATTTATTTAAGGCAGAGCCTGATGGTTGATATTCTTTTACAGTTATTTTTACTGTTAGGTCTCCTTTCCTAAGGAAATGAGAAGAGCTGCCTGGCTAATACTCTCTGCCACAAAACCACTACATTCATGCTCCAAAACAAAAGGGAAATAAGGAAGAACTGGGATGCAGAAGCAGTTACAACTGCTTTTTGATATTTCTCTCAAGGTAATACACAACCACACATCATAAAATTAACACCAGCTTGAGCTAAAGGAGTGTCATCTAACACACCATTTCTACAGACTACATGTCCTATCCTATAGCAAAAGCAAAAGACCATAAAGAGATTATTCCTCATCACAGAGCAAATTAAAATCAGGCTTTAGCTTTTTGTCATTGTTTCTCCTGAAAATGACGGAAGTATTGCTAAAGTAGTGGCAGAATTGGAATATTTGTTGCTTGTAAAAATGTCCAAAATACATGACATGCCAGACAGATGATCCAGATTACTTGAAATATATCTAATTTCTGTGATGAAGAATCTGGCTGGCATATGACAATAAAATTATCTGGCACTGTTACCATTGTCAAATATTCACAGTTTTGTCCTTCACCACTTTTCCCCATTCCTGCATGTCACTCCTTCCTTAAGCTGTAACATGAAATGCCTGAAGTTTTGTTTTTATTTTTAAACTTCTATTACTTAGTTAGATTACAAAGATATCCTACACAGCACAGTTTGTAAGATACCTTCAAAAAAAACCCGGAAACCCAACAGAACAAAATGTTACCAATCAAAACAGGATATTAAAATAGGCTCACAACTGCCATAGTCTGAGAATCACAATATTACTAGTTCATCACTACCTTCCCCTTAATTCTCCCTATGAACAGATTATCCTAACACAGCTTTCATTTCTCTCATTTACCATAGGATGTATAATATCTTCATTGAATCCACCAAGTGTATCTGTTACATGTTTATAACATCATCTTATGAAATTAATCTTGGCCTTCCAGCATTGCTATAATTTTCTACAGTTGTACACACATGAATTTAATTCTTATTTCTAATGCTCTATTTCTGTCACCTCTACTCCCTCCATAGAGTTATATGATGTCACTCAGTTACAGTGCACTAAGGTACCAAGGACACTAGAACCATTTGGATATGATAAGTATAGAAATGCACTTTATTAAATAATCTCCACACACATTTACTGCAACAAATCTCTAGACAGAGGTAATGAAATTAGCTGTTTATCCAGATGTCTGTTACTACAGTTGAGCTTTTTTGTGTTGTTCTAGTATCTGACTTTTTCTGCTTTTATTAAGTAAATAAGCTCTGACACTGTTCTCACACATTAGATGCTATTAGTGGCCCAAGCTGAGCACAGCAATTTGCTAAAATGTTCTAAGAAGTTTAATGGATATATACTGAGGACTAGCAGGCTTGAAGAGAAGGATTTTTTCCACTCTTTGGGTATGAGTCATCATTGCACATCTCTGCAACAAATAATTTACTGCTCCAGTCTTAGTAATTTTCAAATTTAATCAACTAAACTGATAACAAGAACAGGAAATGAAGTTTTATGTTTCAAAGTTTAAAAACATTTGGACATTGAACTGAATTAAACAGCATGTTTATTCCAATTACTTCTCTTATTTGACTGAAAGCTGTTAGGGAAGATACCATGTATACTTAAATTTTCTGCAACAAATAGAGATTACAAGTAATCAGTGTTCTACCACCATAATGGTAGCATCCAGACCAAAGAATACTTCATAACCAGAACTTCATTTCAGAAGGCATCATATGGCATTGAAAACTCTGTCGGTTCCAATACCATCACATGGAGAAGGGGAAAATACATTGTAAACTTGAGAAGCTCTGCACAAGAGCAAACTTTCAGATTTTAACTCCAACCTCAGCACATTCAGTCATTTTGTTTTACAGTTATAGAACACTAACCTATTAATTTATGATTTTGTTATTTTAACACAGTAGCAGCAATAGAGCCAAATGTCAAAAAGCCTGATTTTTAGTATGAACAAGCAAGCAGTGCCAAAAGAATGGAGTTTAACAAAAAAAATTAACTGCCCTTCAGAAAAAAACCTGTTAACAATCCCATCTGATCGGCATTAGAGGTAGAGCATTAAGCTTGAATTTAAGCATTAGAGGTATAGTATTAAACTTACAGTTTTCTCATTGTTCATTCAAAGTCATGTTATTATCATCATGAAAAAAAGAAGATATTCTGAGGGCATTAACACTGTGGTCAGCATGACTTCAATACATAATCACCATCAATCAATAGTAGTGATTATATAGAAGAGTTCAAGATTTTGATCAGATCTTCTCCTAGAAGCTGAAATAACCTTTTTACAACTAGATTGTTTCCAGCTTCTCTAGGAGGTATGACCCATCTCTCTCGCAGACTGAGAAGACACACTGATATTTTGAACAGCAAACACATATTTTGATAAAGTAGCAAAGCAAAGGAAACTTGTTTATAGCATTTTAATTGACAGAAGCAGGATGAATCTGTGTAAATATTGTTCCTGTCTCTTGTGTTCTCTGGGAAGTTCAGAAGCACCTTTTTTACTGTCTTTAATCACTTTTTTTCCATTCTGTGAATGGAAACAGATCTGTGAACTGCTGCAGTGTGGGTCACTCTTCCATGGGGACTCTTCCGGGTCCTTTCGGGTGTTTATTTTCAGGGTAATGTAGGCCTTGTGTTTTTCTGGCTTCTCCTATTTCTCTGCATGGGGTGCAGTCCTGCAAGGAGAGGCTGCTCCAGTGTGGGTCTCCCACGGTGTCACAAGTCCTACCAGGAAACCTGCTGCAGCATGGGCTCCTCTCTCCACAGGTCTGCAGGTCCCTGCTCCAGTGTGGGCTTCCCATGAGGTCACAGTCCCCTCTCAGACACCCACCTGCTCCAGCGTGGGTCTGTCTCCTCCATGGGCTGCAGGTGAATCCCTGCACCTCCCTGACCTCCATGGGCTGCAGAGGCACAGCTGTCTCACCATGGGCTGCAGGGGCATCCCAGCTCCAGGGCCTGGAGCATCCCTGTCCCTGCTTCTCCAGTGACCTTGGTGTGTACAGAGCTGTTCCTCTCACATATTCTCACTCTGTTCTTCTGTGGTCACAATTACAACGATGCAAAACTTCTTTTTCTTCTCAAATCTCTTATCACAGAGGCATTACCACCATTTCAAATTGCCTCAGCCTTGGCCAGTTGCACTCCCATCCTTTGGAGCTTCCAGGGACTGGCTCTGGTGGACATGGAGGAAGCTTCTGGCAGCTTTTCATAGAAGCCACCCCTGTAGCATCCTCCATTACTAAAGTTTGGCCATGCAAACCCAATGCAGCCCAGAAAAAAAAATTAAAAAGTAAGAGCAGAGTTACAGGGAGACAGGAGACTTTTGGGTTGCTGGCTAAAATTTTCTCTTCAGACAAATATGATAGAAAATAGAGTATACAGTCATGTACCAAGAAAGCGTAAGAGTCTGATTCTGATATTCTTTCTTATGAACAGCAGTATTACACATCACAAAAAAATCCCTTACAAAACAATATTGCACTCAAACTGGGAGACAAAACTCTAAGCAGAGAGCATAGAGGACAATACCCAAATTAAAATTTGCTCCATAATATAGTTCCACATAGCTGGGTTTGAAATTTTCTACTGTTTTAAGAGCATCAACTCAGGTTGAGAAATAGTTCCAGCAGCTGACATTAACTGCTCTACAAATCAAGAGTTTTGCAAGTGTACTCGAATCCTGACAATCTGTGACTTATAATGTGACTGATCAACAATGGAAGAACATACAGAGGAGGTAAGTACTCTGCTCATGGAGCTCTGGAAAGAATACAGGGAGTGACCACAGCTGCTTTAAAGGAAGCTGAAGTAATCTCAGCATAGGAAGGGGCTCTGGGGGGCCTTTGTTTCTCACAAAAGACTGCACCATTTGAGGGGATCAACTGGCCTTAGCTAAGTGTGAACGCTGAACGCATTTATGTGCTACCCAGAGAAGCATGGCTTGAGCCAGCCCACAGTATAAAAAAAAGCAAGCAGCAAAATGAACTTTCAACATAGCAATAGACTTGAGCTGGCTTTAACCCACACACACTGTCACAGCAAGTGGGGACAGCTTGTGTCATGATAGTTCATGTACAGCTTGTCATGATAGCTCATATACAGAGACTGGCAACAGGAGTCACAGCTGCACTGTGATCTGCATGCTGCAGACATTCTGTGGTATAACATTTTGCTGTAATGTTCACCTAAGTCCTGCTCAGACTTCGGCTAACTCACAGCTAGGAGTGTGCCATGAGGTCAAGGCAAGAGCAGCACATAGCCAAGATATGATGGACAGAAGGGCTAAAGGTCATTATGCAGCTGTCATAAGCTACCACTCACTATCTCCTGCAGCCTTAATCCTTCTAGCAGCTGCTTTAGAATCTAAAAACCTAAAGAAATAGTACTGACCAAACTTCCAAGTTGGAAGGTACAAGTATGTCACTTGTTCCTCTAAACAGCAGACATAAAGCCATCCACAAGGGTTATAAAAGTGAAAACAAAAAGATAGTAAATATTTTTTAAATTAAATAGAATGATAAAGAATAGAAGTTAGTTTAAAGTCAGTTTTGCCTGATTAAGCTTAGCTTCCTAGAAAAGAAATAATGCAGGTATATTTGTTTACGATTTCTTCTGAAGCAAAATTAACAGCAAAGCAAAATTCTCAATCTAATTGCTAGTGACAGAAGCAAACAACACAATTAAAAATATCCATGTTACTAATGCATCACAAGACCCTAAGTTTAGTGTCTTGTGATGCATTAGTAACATGGATAAATAAAATAACAAGAAATAAATTAAAATTAGAATAACAGGATTGAATTAAAAAAGTAAGAATGACATTCATGCAGTGACATGATTAGTCATTACACAAAGCCCTTTTAAGGTAATCCTCCCTTCCATTGAATCATTGTTTCTATATGTTTCTAAATTTCTCTATCACAGCCCTACCAGCTTAAGCAAAACCAGCTGTGACACATCAAATGTCAATGAAGTATACTGTAAGTAAGGGTGTTCCTTTTTCTGTTATTACACCAACCACCTTTAAACATCAGCACCACAAAACACAAAGAACTGTCAGCACATCAACACTGTCATCTGAAAGCAATGCCGGGGACAGAACCTTTCAGGGAATATGCCTTCCTACATTTCTTGTTGTGCAAAATGCAAATGTACTACAACTGACATACATGTATTTTTCAAACTAAAGCTATTAAAAAATGTAAGTCATCAAAGTTGTATCATTGTTCTTGTAAGCTAACACATAGCCTTGGGCATACTACCTGGAGTATTATGGTGAGTGGTATAATCTGTTAACCTGGAAATTCTTTCAGATGGTCTCTTTTCTGAGGCAGGTTCTGGAAACTTTGAGACACACTGCTCAAACTTCGGAGTCACTACAGTATAACGAAACAGCTCTTCATATTCATCCTGTTGCAAAGTGGTGACAAAGAATTATAAAACTATAATTACATTTTTAAAAATTAGGCATATGTAAAAAGAAGTGCATATTATTTTCTATAATTTTGAGAGGTTTCTTTTTTATTATTATGGTGTAAACAGAGAGGATTTCCCCTAAAGCTGCAAAAGTGAGCTGTTTTCCTACAATGTCTATAATAATTTAACTTTCTCTTGTTTAATGTTCACATTCCTTCTTAATACAACTATATGCACTGCAACAGCTGCACAGAAAGACTCTATGAGATTCCAGCATTGGATACTAGAATAGGCATCTAAAACAAGAACTGGAAAAAAACTCCAGTCCCAGATCATCTAAGTTATTAATCGGCCCTTATTATTTTCAATGACTACTAGTAGTGCTTCAAAGAAAAACATGTATTTTTATAGCTATGACAAAGATGCTACTGAACACAGTCACACTTCACACTCTGTAACATTGCAATTTCTCTGGTGGAAGTTGTAAAGCCAATCATCAAAAGTGATTTGATTATACTCAAGTTTTTTTAGAAAGGATATAATTATTCTCACCTTATATTATTTATTTTTAAAATTATACAGGTATACGGAATGTATATATATAACTTAAAAAGAAGCTTTCCTATTAAGAAGCTATAAACTTCTCTAACTAGTATGTGGCATTATGCTACACACCTAAGTAAGCCAATTAATATTTTTTTGAAACCTCCTAATGAAACAGATTTTCAGGATGAAGGTATTTAAGTGTTCATTGCAAAACCGTAAACAATCTGTATTATAGCTTAAACATGCAATCTAGTAATTAATTAAACAAGTACCACTACCAGTTACTTACTACAACAAATAAAATCTACTAAAGATTTGGAAAACAATGCGCATTGGAAAACACTATACCAGGTCACTAGCAGTTATTTTTACTTCACTTATTATTATGACATTAGTTCTGTTATATCACATTAGAATCCTAATGAGGTCAAATCTCAAAAACCAAGTGTGAATTCAAAAATTTATTTCCGCTTAAACCTGGGGGAAGTTAGAGTGAAAACAATCAACGGAAGGTACCAATTACATGCAATATGTTTTTGAATCTAACAACTGAAAAGGATAATACTTCAAAACTCTCAGTGTAACTTGTATATTTTTGTGTGTTTCAACTAATTAGAGAATTTAAGAAGCTAGGTTTGGTACATTTACTCTGCATTCTAGTTTCCATTTAAATGTCCATTTCCCATCTTCTAATCTATCACGTTCAAAGTAAAAGCCTAAATAAATGTGTATGAAGCTACAGAATTACAAATACATGATGTATCTTTTGGACACGCAAGTGTGTCACAATCCATGTAAAAGGTATAGTTAGCTGCAAATCAACAATTTATTAATTTTTCCACAGACATATCTTTCTAAATGTATACAGTTTAAATTTTAAAAGATATCAAAAGAAGAAAACAGATATCTTTAGATCTGTTACTCAATCAGGAATTGCATGGAACCATACAAAACTCCCTCAGGAAAATCTCAGCTGAGTAAAAAAGCCAATATTAGCCTTAACTAATAAAAATTAAATGATTCTGCAGATGTTAGATCACACCTCTGTCTTCTTCTAAGAGATCATGCAACCAAATATCAACTTAAAACTAATTCTTCCCAACAAACAAGTTAGTTCTCAGACAGAGCTGATCCAGCTGCTTCCATGATCAATTCAAAGGACCTAGTAGGTTAGATGTCAGATGCAAGTGGGTGTCTCATGTTGAGTCACCTAATTTATTCACTATCACACAATATGTCCAACTATAGACATGCTTAGCATTCAAAATACGGGTATCAATTTATGTCAGGAGATTTCTTTCAAGTTCTAATTCTTTTATTAAAACTCAAAGAATCCAATCTGTACAGAAATACGCACTCTTACGCGCCAACAGAAAGTGTCAATAAACAGCATCCAGTGACAAATCTGGAAATAAATGTTCATAAATTACAATATTACAACACTGTTGAAATGAAGTTGAAAGGCAAATATTAAAGAAAGCACAGTATCCCAGTTGTAATCAGAAACTTAGACACACAAAAAAAAGAATCCTGGAGACAGCAGTGAGAATATGTATGGAAACACTGAGTGATTAAGTGTATTCCTCATCTTAAATACTCCATAACAAGTATGCTGCAACTGGAATGCAATATTGACCAGTACATTTAAAATAAAACCATAATAAAATTAAAAATATATCTTTGGTTTATTATTGTGGTTCTGCTTTTAACAGAACTTTCAAGCTGTTCTGTCAACTGCAAGTAATTCTGTTAATGTATAAAACTAGAGGAATGTAATTCTATGACCTGAAGGTCTGTGGAGTTTTGACTATTTAATGCCTTGATTTTGTAGAAGAAAATGTAGTGATGTAATGAACAAATGGCACAAAAAAAAAACCCCAGATGTTTTTTGATAATTTTTTTCTATTTTAAAATAAAAATCTACAGATACTGCAAAGGATTGCAGTCAAGGTTACTAGACAATATGACAAGAACAGATTGAATGGATAAAGTCTTGCATAACAATTATAAGTATAATGGACATTCTCTAAGAGCCAGTGGATTTCTTTGTCAGGAAAAAGTAATAAGCTGGCCTCTATTTAAAAGCAACATGTTATCAAAAAGGCCCAAACAAACAAAACAGAACAGACCTTCCAAAATTATCTAAATGGAGTAGAGTACTTCCCTGTCAACATTCCTATTGATCAGCTGTGACCTCAGTGTTGTTCTTTTCCAACAGTAACCAACTCCTACCAGGGGTAGCTCTAGGCTTGTCTAGTTTGGAGAAAAGGAGGCTAAGGGGCCTTGTTGCTCTGTACAGCTTCCTGAGCAGGGGAAGTGAGAAGAGATGTCCACCTCGTCTCCCTGGGATCCAGTGACAAGAATGAGTGGGAATAGTTCAAAATTGTGTTGGGGAGGATCAGATTAGACATTAGGAAGCATTTCTTTACTGAGAGGGCAATCAAACACTGGAATGGGCTTCCCTCGTGAGGGAGAGTGTTGGATGCCAGGAGCCTGCTGTTTAAGGGGCACTGTTTAAGGGGGCATTTGCACAATGTCCTGTAATAACATGCTTTAACTTTTGCTCAGCCACAAAATGGTCAGGCAGTTTGGCCAACAATTGATGTAGGTCACTTCCAGCTGAGCTATTCTTCTCTAGACAGGTTCTCATTCACAAAACAGTCGCTCATTAGTATAAATTTATCATTATCTACACGATACAGATTGAATGGATATGATTATATATAATATATACTGTATGATTACCTATTATATATATATATAATTATATATATATATATTTACCTATTTTTTATATATATATATAAAATATAAAATATACGATTACCTGTGATTATCAGGTGGCCTTAGAGCCTCCTTGATAATCACAATCAGGTCATAACAGAAAATTCTGGTCCTTCAAAATTTGTAGCATGATGCTTTTATCTTGTTCTCTGACTACAAAAAAGCATTGGAAACACACATGCATTACTATTCCTAAAAAAAGATTATGAAAACTTATCCATGAGATACAAGCACAAATAGAGACATACATGAACTGTGGAAATTAATTGCCCCATAAAATGTTGTTTTAAAGGTACTAGTCAATCCAAATAGTAAAAAAAGAAAGAAGAAAACCCCTTAATTAAATAGTGTTGCTACTGTACATGCCCATTTCACTATGTGACAAATGTGGAGATGCACTTCTAAGGGCAACTAGCAAAACAGGTTATTGCCAAAACCATCCTGGTTTGGACTGTATCCTACCAAAGGAAAAAAACCACACAATCTATTATGCAAATAGGAATAAACAATTATTAAATTATGAAAATCTGCTGCTTTCAAAAGAATGGTACAAAGACTTTATCCAGTATCCTTGCATCCTCTTGAAAGCATGACGAGCACAGAAAAGGCAACCCCCCGTATTATAGGTACAGAATGTCCTAATGTATTTGATGTAGAAAGCAAAAAAAACAAAGCAAAAAGCAATCATTTCCTTTCTGTGATTAACTTGGCCATAATACTACTCCAAGGGAAATAAATCCATTTTAAAAAATTCAGTTTTTACAAAACTGACTCATGGGGAAAGCCTAAAATATAGTTACTCATCATCTCTCAAAAGTCATGGGTTTCTATCCCACTGTGTCAAATTCTGGCTTCTTGATAAGACTTAACACAAATAAAGAATAACACTAGGAAAAAAAGCTGAGAAAACTACCTATTTTACTTGCTGCTGATCAAAGTCTAAAGTTTAGGTAAGAATTTTTACATAAATTTCTTGTGAAATGCACAGAAATGGAATCTAACTGAACATATTTTCGTAACAGTATTTTTTGCAGCCTACTTTGTTTCTTTTCCCTAATATTTTTATTATTTTCCTATGTATGTAAAACATAAAAAAGATGAACATTTAGTTAGATTTGCTGAGTTATTCTTTACCAAATGAAATGCCATGACAGTAAATCAAATTATATTGCCTCTGTCCTACCTGAGGATCTGAAGAAACAGAACTGTCCTGAACAAAGTCATTTGGGAAAATTGGACTTGTGCTTTTCTCCTCATCAGATGACATTCTGCACAAAGTAACTCTATAAAACAGTAGAAGCTGAACTTCATTTTTCAGTTTCAGTACATAAACATATATTCACCAATATTTTCCCCAGAAACAGATTCTGCTGTTACAACTGGATCAATGCCCATTCTGTGCACTAAACTGATTGAATAGTCTCATTATATAATGCTGCAAACTGTCTGATCCAAACCATACTCAAAATAATGGAAATATTTTCGCTAACTTATAAGAAAACAAGGAAAGACCCCAAAGCAACAATGTCAGTTGTTGCAGTTACAGATATACTCCTGTGTCATTTTTATTCACACTGTATTGCCTTTTAGCTTATCAGGCTGTTTCAGTACAAAATTCCTACAGAGCAACATAAGAATGTATAAGCTACACTGTGCCCACCCACTATGTTACCTCAGCCACAGCCCAAGATAAGATAGTGCCCTGAACACTCCTGTTCAATACCCTGGATCTTACTGGTCAACATCAGTCTCCCATCTCTATTTTGAGTTTCAGGCCCAGGAACATGAACAGCTATGGAAGGACAAGTAACACCTTAGGTTCAATAAATATCAACCATTCCAGCAATTTCTTAGCAAGACAGTGAGGCATTCTTTGAATATTTGGGAGGTAGGCAATGTTGAAGAATTGATAATAAGCTTGAAGACCTTGTGAAAGATACACATATCTTTTAATCAAATACAGCCTTGTATAGGTCTTTCAGTGAAGAACTGAAGCTCTTGTGATAAGATTTGACAGAATAAAGGGAAAAGGACTCTAAAGAATATGGCAGAGGACGGAAAGATGAAAGGAATTACAAAATGAGGGGAAACTGAGTATAAAGCAAGGTGAATTTTTTAATGAATGAATGGCAGAGTGATATAGGTGCCTGATGCACACAAAAGACAATTAGACACATTGACTAAGGAGTTGTCAGGAGAGAAGGCATACCACCATAAATAATCAGAGGAACTGATTGTACAGTGTAGCAAACAACTTGCAAGGAAAATTTATTTTTAGAGAGATCTTTACAACTGTCAATTATAATATTCTTGTTTTTAAACAGATGCATTTTCTGACAGAAATGTAAATTTTAAATTGCTAGTTGTGCTGTCATAAAACTGGCAGGAATATCCTACTTAAACACCATCAATGTTTCTCAAAGTATCAAACCCTCCACATAGTTCTCTATATCAGAATACAGATAGAAATTAATTATCCTCTTGCTCTTTGAGCTGTTCTATACACTGATTCTTCCTGCACCACAAAAGCTCTCTCTGCCATGGATATTTTTACACCTTTCAGAATGACAAGCTCATTTCTGTGCTGCTGATGGATGTTTAAAAAACAATATAAAGACAGTTTCAAATGCTGAGATTTCCTGTAGCTCAACGTTCAAAAGACATGATCACCATCTTCCTACTTCCTTCTGAACCCTCATATACCAAACACATTTTTAAAGTATAAAAATGGAGTCTAATGAAGGTTTACTTTGTACTTTTTATTCCTGTATATCTAGGAGTAGACAACAGAAGAAATACTACCTTCATCAGCTCCCCTTTTTTCATTGTCTCCGGGTCTGATAATTTTCTCCTTTCCTCTCTCACATTAAATATTACTTATATATCCTTGGTTTTAGCCTCTCTACATAAGGAAATAGCTCTATAATAGCATTCTACCTTCTTCTAGCTGATAAAGTCTTTCAATACCAAAAAATACTTCTGCAATCCTAAAAAGTCAACTTCAATTTCATATGCATTCCTACATGGTTTCTCAAATTGTGGATCCTGACTACTCTAAAAACGCTGGATCTATTCAAAGACGTGCATGCATTAGTGAAGACCACAAAGAACCAACCATCTAGCACTTATAGGAATTATATGTGTGTTTGCTAAGAAGTTCTAAATATTGTCACACCTTCTCTTCTCAGAACACTTCAAAAGAACTAAACTATTGATTTTTCTGAGAAATAGGATGGCAAATGGAGTTCAATGTGAATACAGGTAAGTCCAAGGAAGTCGAAAAAAAAAGTTTTTACTGAAAAGTTTGTTCAGTAACTTAAGATCACTGTCCCGAGTTCTGCTTTCAGTTTTCTAAGATCTTGCCCCTTACATGCAATCAAGTGGATCTGGCTCTCTACTTATCACTGAAACTACTCTCTGGTCTTCCAAAACTCAAAAGGTTCCTTCATCACAAGTGACAAAGCAAAGTGACCTCAGTCACTCATACAGCTTCTCCTCAAGGCCCTTCACCATCTTCTCCTCCTTTGGATGCTCTCACATAGCAGAATGTCTCTCTTACACTGTGGTACCTAGAACTGCCCCCAGCGCTCGAGGTGAGGCTGCCCCAGTGCAGAGCACAGCAGTGCAGAGCAGTGCAATCCCCTCCCTTGCCCAGCTGGCCATGCTGTCCCTGATGCCCCCAGGACACAGGTGGCTCTCCTGGCTGCCAGGGCACTGCTGACCATGTCCAACTTACCATTGACCAGGATTCACCAGACCACTCCAGTGGAGCTGTTTTCCAGTTTGTTCTTACATCCAGGGTTGCCCTGTCCCAGGTGGATTTTCTGCCTTTGCGGAAATCAACAGCCCTACCTAATTTATATTGCCAACAAACTTACTCCAATGCCTGCATCCAAGTCAATTAGGATGTTGAAAAGCATCAGCTAAGATGGAGCCCTGTGGAACCCTCCAGGGGCAGGTCCCCAGCCTGATGTCATCCTATTCACTGTAAGCCTTTGTGCCCACCTCATGAGCCAGTAACTCACCCATTATGTAAAGTGCTATCCAGCTGTGTGCCAGACATTTTCTCCAGAAGGATACTGTGAGAGACAGTACCAAAAGCTTTACTGAAATCCAAAAAGATCACATCAACTGGTTTCTCTTGATAAAGTAGGTGGGTCACCTTGTCATAAAAGGGAATTAAGTTTCTTAGGATCTTCTAATCATGAACCCACCCTGGCTGTGATCTATGACTGCATCAATGTTGCAGACCAAAGCAAAGAACTCATCTCTGCCCTGTCAATGTCCCCATTTGTGAGGTGATCATCCTCATCATGTAACAGGATCATGTTATTTCTGGACTGCCTTTTATTATTGACATATTTTTAAAAATTACTTTTTATGTCCCCTACAGTACTGGCCAGCTTCAAGTCTAACTGAGCTCTGGCCATATAAATTTCTTGTTTATCATGGAGAGCTGAATTTCTGTATTTCTCCCATGTAATCTGACTTTGCTTCCACTGGGCATATGCTTTCCTTTTTTGCCTTAGCTTCAGAAGAGGATCCCTGCTCAGCCAAGCCAGCCTAAGAATAACTTGTCAGCTTTGATCTCAGTGAACAAGCACTAAGTACCACAAAATACCGGATAAGTTCTTAAAAGAGAAATCAAGGGATATTAAGAGACCACCTCTGGGTCAACAAACTAATTTGCTAAGCTGCAAATCATTATATGGGGAAAGACAAGTGAGAAGAGCATCCTCAAGCTTACCAGGTTCTTCTAAACTTATCCAAGCATCTGCCAAAATATATTTCTGACTTCATTAAAGAAAGATTCCTGCTAACAGCAGCAGTTTCTCCCAAGCCATAAGCATACAACTGCAGCAGCAACACTGCTACTTTTAAGAAACAGGATATAACTATAAGGACCTTGGTCTGACTCAGCATTGTTGCTCTCCTCCTTAATTTTGAATTAATTAAGCTGTGCTCAGGTTTTTGTGCGTTTGGGTTTGTTTTTAACTAAAGATGATGCTTTCCAAATAATTTAGTGTTTCACTCAGATCAGAGGACTCAACACCTAGGAAACAGAATGATGGGTAAGGTCAGAACAGACACAGTGGGTCATCCAGTCCAGACCGCCTGCTTAAGCAAGGTCATCCTAGAGCACATAGTACAGGATTGCATCCAGGTGGTTTTTGAATATTTCCAATGAGGGAGACTACACAACCTCTCTAAGCAATCTATTGCAGTGCACAGTCACCTACACAATAAAGAAGTTTCCCCTTATGTTCAGGTGGAACTTCCTGGGCATCAGTTACTACCCATTATCACTTGTCCTACTGCTTGGCACCACTAGAAAGAGCCTGGTCCATTGCCTTGGCACCTTCCCTTCAGATAATTATAGACATTGATGAGGTCTCCTCTCAGTTGTCTCTTCTTCAGGCTGAACAGGCTCAGCTCCCTCTGCCTTTCCTCTTTAAATGCTCCAGTCCCCTCAACATCTTTGTAGCCTCTGCTCCCCCATTCCAGGATTTCCATGTCTGTCGTGTCCTGAGGAGCCCAGAATGGGACACAGCACTCCAGGTGAGGCCTCATCAGGGCTGAGTACAGGGGCAGGATCACCTTCCATGACCTGCTGGCAATGCTCTTCCTCATGCCCCCCAGGATACCATCGATATTCTTGGCCACCAGCACACGCTGCTGGCTCATGGAAGCTTCTTGTCCACCAGGACCCCCAGGTCCTTCTCCACAGAGCTGCTCCCCAGCAGAGCAGCCCCAGCCTGTGCTGGTGCCTGGGGCTGTTCCTCCCCAGGTGCAGGACCCTTCATTTGCCTTTGTTGACTTTCAGATGGTTGTTTTCTGCCCATCTCTCCAGAGCGTTGGCCATTCCTCCCAGCTTCGTGTTCTCAGTGAATTTGCTGAGGAGGAATCTGCCCCTTCATCCATGTCATGGATGAACAAGCTAAACAGTTCTGGGCCCAGCACCGAGCCTAGGGGACCACTGCCAGCGTCCCTGGATAGAACTACAGTGTCCGTGATAGAACTACATCTCCTGGCAGTAGAGGCAAGACATACTCCTTGCCTTTAGCCGTACCCCCTTGCAAAGCAGCGCTGCTCACGCTTTTAACTCCTCACTCCAGCAGCTCCGCAGCTGCCCCCGAGGCCGGCAGCGCCCACACCGCGGCTGCCATGGCAGCTGGGGACAAACAGCGACAATCCGCTGAGTGTCCCACAGAAACCAGGGAGGCACAGAGGTGGTCAGGCGGCCGCGAATACGATAGATTATGAACAGGAGATTCTCCTTTGCTTTTCTTATACAGGGCTTTCAAAGCAACCAGCCCAACCAGGGGGCACGGAGTGCCCACTGGCACCCCCAGGAAACTCGGGGTGGGGCTGCGGGCGCCAGCGCGGCCCCCGGGCAGGAGCAGGGGTGGGTGCTGTGGGAAGGACGGCGCAGCCCCGGCCCCCCCCCGCTCACCTGCGGGCGCCGGCCGCGCCGCCCTGGGCCCCGACGGTTTCAAACTGCCGGAGCGGAAAAGGAACCACGGCTGCGATAGGCTCAGGGTTCCTTTGCAACGCACCCTCCGATTGGGCGGCTTGGAGGCGAAACAGCCAATCGAATCGCTAGGCCGAGGGCGCGTACGCCGCCAGCCCCGCCCCGCCCGCGGGCAGCTCCTGCCGCACGCTGATTGGCGGGGCTGGCCAGGCGCCGGCGGGGGCGCGCGGCGCGGTCCCGAGTCCGTGCCGGGCCGTGCCCGGCCGTGCCCGGCCGTGTCCGGGGATCGCGGGCCTGCGCCGGCGGCCAAAGCCGGGCATGGTGTGGCCCTGGCAGTGCCGGGGAGGGGACCGTGCCAGATAGAGCTGTGGTGGAGGGCTTGGGTTTCTGCGTGTTGGACAGCAGCTGCTGACAGGCATTCTTGTGGAGAATGAAGATTAAAAAAAAAAAAAAAAAAAAAGACGGAGAGAGAGAATTCCTTGGGTGGAATTCCTTCATTCTTAAGCACTTCCATCTGTGCTAGTAATGAAGCTATAAACCGTCGCCGAGAAGGGTTTTTAAATAATTTGTGCAGTAATGCTGCAGAAGGAGGTCTTGGCTTGTAGTTTCCAGCATTCCTCTCCAGGACAGGCTTTCCCTAAAACTTTGCGTAGGCAGGCGAGATCAATTCGGGAACTGTGTGTCACACACCCCACCTGAGGCAAGTAACTCTCCTTGCTGCCATCTCTGGGCTGTAATAGCCAGATATACAACAGCGGGTTTTGAAGATTTTAACATAAGGCGTCAAAGAGTAGAGAGTCCTTCCATTTTCTGGCGTTCTTTTAACTTTATAGCATCATAATTGATCTTTCTGTAATGCAAGCTGTAACACTGAAAATGATGCAGTATTATTTCAAAATTATTTACAGCACTGAGCTCGGGCTACGGCATGGCACTGAGCATGCTAGTGCCACAAGCCTTCTGGTCAGGCTCTGTAAGATGATATCTTACCTTATATAGCACCAACATTTTGTCTGATAACATGAGAAAGATAGGTTGAGCATAAAATATGCAGATAGACACAAAACTATAACTTGTTATTTGCCCTTTATAAATATTCACAGCAGTACATGTACCTTGTTCCAGAATATTTTGCCCTTGTGAAACCCTTGAGCAAGTAAGGACCACCAAAAAATTTCCCCTCTCTTAGAGGCATTTAAGTCCTCCTTAAGTGAGCCTTTTCACACAGTAGAAGCCTACTTCAACATTTGTTGAAGTTCTCATTTAGACAAAGTGGCAATGGAGGGTTGTTTTTAACTGCAGTATCTGATAAGAACAGCATGATTTGATGAGAAAAAATTCCAGCCTGAGGAGTCACTGACTGTGCAGTCATTTTGTTTCATTAAGGCCTACAATGACATTGGTTTATGTTAGTTTCCAGAAAAGCATAATGGAAGGGCTGCATTTGCCGATGGATTTCAGTAAGCATGAAGGAGTGTGTGGTTTCAGAAATACATATTTTTTAAAATCAATTTGGTTGCAAATATCTATGATAGGATCTTCAGTTCCAGTTAAGGTTAAATTTGAGGTAAAAAGGAACTGCATTTTGTAACAACTGCAGGAGCACTGGCCTCAGACCTTTTCCCATTCCCTTTTTTGAATGCTGAACCGAACCTGTCATTCACATATTGGTGACCAATGTCCACACTAAACCAAAGCATACCTTTTTTTCCCTTGCCACAACTGGTTTTTCCAAAAGGTCATAGCTGAGGGAGGATGTTGCAATAAACCAGAAAACCAAAGTATTTCTGGACAAAGTGGAGTGGAGTTGTTGCTGTACCCTAACAGCAATGAATTTGTAGGATTGGATCATCCCTCAACTCTAAAATAAGCTTCATGAGACCTAATACTGTTTGTGACTGGGCTGAGTTGGCCTTCATAGCAAAGGGCAGGAGGCACAGTGGCATTTGTAGCCATGAACCATGGCAAGATGTCTGGTCACAGGATCTCCTCGACGCATGTCTGTTGTTCTAGGAGGCCGCGCTCAGCTAAGAGTGAGAGAGAATATCTTCCAAAGACCAACTCAAATCATGGAATCCAGACAAGCCCTTCTGAGAGTTCTAACTACTAAAGCAGCCTCCAAATCTACCTTTTTTTTTGGGTGTGTTTCACATAAGGTCACAAGAACTGGTGCACGCTCGTGAAAAAGAGCACGTTTCCTGTCTCAGACCAAATTATATATTTATAAAAATTGAGGGATTACATAGGTTTCTATCATGCTTTTCATGTTAATTTGTTTTGTATGCTGCTGGTGTAAAAAATATGATGAATCTTTCTTCATAAAATAATTTTAAAATACATGACTACCAGTGGCACATGAAAGATGCCTTTAAATATGTGTTTAGCTTTCAGTCTTACATCTTTGGAAAAATGCAGACATTTGAAAATGGAAGGAGTTTGCAATGGGTACTCAAACCAGTCTTTGTGATGCAAACATCTACTGCTACTTTGTAATTAGATGGATAAAAAGCAAAGGAGATCAAATGGTATCAAGCTGATTACTAGTATAAAGGCATAATTGTAGGTAGTTAGAGACCAATGAAATGACAATAATTACCCTATTCCCACACTGGGTATTTTATGGTGTATCTGATTAAACCTTCTGTTGAAACTTTCTGATTTTGAATTGTATTTAAAAAATACCTTCCATCTTTCATGTTGGATTCTATTGTACAATAGAATGTACAATTATTTTCACAGAAGGAAGGAGAGTTTTCTATGCTTTTATGACCACATATGTTCATCTGCTGCTGTTCTAGCCAAGCAAATGCTGCAGTAGTGGTTGAAGTCAGGAAAAGTATGCTTGTCTGTTCAGATTAAGAATTAGTTTTGAAGCAGGTGCTGTTCTGAGCTTTTGAAGAAAACAGGTAGAAGGGAGTCAGGAGTCTGAACCGATTTAATGTCATTAACACATCTAATGCCAAAAAGTCACCTTTTCTTTCCTTGAAATAGTTTTTGAGGAATTCAAAGTTAAAAACAAACATCATCCAGTTTATATGAAACAGTAATGAATTTTTAGTGTTTTCTGTAGTTCTGTAGGTTGCTGAAACACATTTCCAGTGTTTTCTATTTCCCCCCTGTATGTATCATGATTATGTGATGGAAGACCAGATATTTTGTTCTAACTTAAGAGTGGATACCGGAGTGGTTATTGTTTGACTCTACCAGATGATCTATTTGAGTGTTTGCTGTGTGAACACAAGATCTGTCTCCTCTCATGTGGAGGGATAGATGCAGCCCTGGCTTCTAGGTAGGTCTGTGCCTTGTGCAGTGTGGTCTCACCATGTCTCTTGTGCTCGATGGCTCGAGGTGTCTCAAAGAGAGCTGTTGAGTGTCTAGAGGCAGAGAGCCAGGCAGAAGGCACTAAGCTACATCTCTTGGAGCTTTACATTCAAAGGACTGTCACATTATGTCTACTGCCTCGTGCAGTGGGACCATTGTAACTGGGTGGTCCAGGACCATTCCTTTTCCACCACATGAACTGAAATATTAAATATATTGTTGATAGATCACTCATTTCAAGCCTTACAGTGATTTTTTTGTTCTGACTGCATTAAGAAACGTTTTTCAAAATACCATTATTTCATACAGAATTGAAATCCTTATTCTATATGAAAAATAATGTGTAACCATAGTGAATATGGGCAATGTGGCAGTGCTGTTCTAGATATTTTGGAATTTACTGACATTTTTTCTTGTGATAATGCTGATAGTAGAAACAAACTTACCTTGTGAATATTGAACACCTCAGTGTTAAAGGGCTCTGTCTTCTGTCTATGGTCCCCTTCTTCGCTTGTAAAAATACTCTTCTGTTCTGACAATGCTGTCTCTCATATAATGGTTAGTGCATATATCAAATATATATTGATTTTCAGAAAAATATCCAAGGGGATTGTAATCAGTATTTAGAGATTGAAAATAGTCTTGAGTCTAGTATTTGCTGTTATCTGAAAATATATTCTCCTTTTTTTTTTTAACAGGTGTTTCAGCTTATACTTGACAGACACAAGACAATGTTGAAGGGCCTATAAATATAAAAGGCCCAGTGAGCATGTTCATATGTATTAAAAAAATTTTTCCCAGAGCATTTGAGTGTTTTTCACTCAAATAAGTGTTTTGACATCAGTCAGTCATCAGTCTTTTCCCCATCAGTGACAACCTATCATGACAGAATTTATGAAGAGATTTTTCATGAATAGCAAGGATGGCTTTTCTGCTATAATTACTTATTGACATGTTAGATAAAGATTTTCAGTTACACAGAAAAAAATGCTTCTCTTGCAGTACCTTAGGTAAGTATACATTCACCCGCTTTTCAAGCTTCTCTCTTTTTTCAAGTGTGATACCAAAACAGATCTGTCGATAGTTTTGCCAAAAAGCACTGGGAATATTTTTGTCTCCTTTTAAACTGTAAGGAACAGGTGAAATCTCTTCTCATAAGATATTAAAGGATCAACATCCCTAGAGACCTTTCAGTGACAGGGTGCACATGTACAACATATTTGTGATGACATATTCAGCTGCAGGGGCAATAGAACACCACCATGCTCTAGAGTATTGAAGGTCTGTAAAAGGCAAAGCATCTTTCTTCCAAGACTAGCATTAGGACTTCCCAATGAAATATGCTACTGAAAATCATATATAAGGAATGAATGCTGGACTTGTCATAGTTCCTTGCAGCAGCATACAGGGTTTTACAGAAAGGTAGAAATATAATTCTTGTATGAGTTGGCAGCAATTAAACTGTTCCTGTTAAAAATAAGTTAAAGTTTTTCCAAGCTTGATTGTATTAATAATCTGTTCCTAAGGAAAATGCAATTTTTATTAATAACAATTGTGATGTTTATTGCTATCTTTAAGAAATCTGCACACTGTTCTTGCTTTTACCAGTTTTAAGAGGTTCTTTCTACAAAGGAGTACTAGGCAGGTTTTTTGGATGGGGTTTCCATCATAAAACACAGACACTTTTGGCAAATGAAGCGCAGGAAACATTTGAAAGGTTAATATGCAGTAGACATTCACCCTTCCTCCAAGAGCTGCCCATTTACTTGAGAGATTGTATACCAGTCAGAATGTTTTAGCATCTCTTCAGCTTCTTATGGCGGGATCAACATGTTGGCTGTTGACAGCTGTAAACATGCATATTTGCATTCTGGTTTGGATGCTTTCAGCTCCTTTGCTTGCAGCGGTCACTTCCTCTCTCCCCATTCTCCGTCAGGGTCTGCAGTCCCTGTGCTGCCTGCTCCGCTTCACCGCGGGCTGAAGGACACTCCCCTGGAGCAGTTTCTTCCCGAGACGTGAGTCAGCAGCACGGTGGCTGACGGCATTGCCGGCATGGGCCGCGCAGAGATGTGCCTCTGCAGTGACGCAGCCTTTGCTCAGGCAGGAGTCAGCAAGGAGTTTTACATCACCTCTACACCAGGTGGCAACATATCATGCTGCTCTGCTCGTGATCTGGTTTGAAAGGCAAAAACGCTTATAATATGCAGCATTCTGTAGAATTCAGTCATTACAGATCTGATCCGGTACCCCTTCTTTTTGTTTTTTGCTTTTTTAAAAATCAAATTAGGTGCTGTTATTAAATTTATGTCTTATTATATTAATGTTGACAAAGACTGGTTAAATGACATTAAGGAGGAAGAAAAGAATTCAGTGGGATGGTCTAAATGGTGTAAGAGTATGCACTATAGGTACCTTTTAAGTTTTGGAGAGTGCTGTTGGCATTCATTTTAGGATGCAAAAAGGTATGTTACAACAGTTTTTTCTTTTAAATTTCCTGGAATTAATTACTAAAAATTATCTCCTCCACTAATAAAGAAAGATTCATAGTACTTGAAGGATTAGCACCTTCAATTTAGACTGTAATAAAAACTTTGGTTACTATTAAAAGGCCTTTCAAATAATGTTCAGATGTCTGTGACATTCAGGCTGAAACGTTTCATGTGGTATTCATACTGCCGACTTAAGGCCTTTTCATTGCAGACATCTTCTGTGCTATTCATTGTGGATTCCCCTTATAGTTGCTTAAGGGACATCAGAGGTAGCCTCATCTGGAAAGTCTTCTAGTCTTTTGTACTCCTAGCAGAGAAACAAGTGCCTGCAGGGTTCAGTTGATCTCATACATTTCTAAAAGGTCAGATGAATCATACCACAAAGTGCTTATTACCCTGTTGACTATAGAGTCTAGAAAACTAGTACAGATATCTGCATTTTAGACATTTGCATTTGCTCAGATGATTCCAATCTTTGGAATGTAATTGTACTTCAAAGGGATCTACAGGTTCTCAAAGGATTTGATTATTAAGCCACAAGTTTTTTTTTAGTTTGGCATCCAGAGTACAAGCCTGGCTTGGACATTGATCGGAGTCATTCTGTCCATTTTTTGGAGTAAGGAGAGACAACTCCACCACATCAGGTGAGAGATAAGTCTGGTCGTGCCTGTTCCATTTCAGTTCACTGTATTACCATTATAAAAACATAGTAAATACAATATAAGGGAAAAGATTTTGTTAAAGGCTTAAATGTCTAATTCATTAACATTTGTAAAACAAATGTAAAAAGCAAAACATAGCTGTCTTCAAATAAAATTTGTGAAGTATTCAACATGTAGATAAACTGACAAATGAAACTTTTATGTAAGACAGTGTTATGAAAGAGAACAGGAAGATAGAGTGAATATGAAAGGAATGATACAGACAAAACCAAATCCTTGAGTGTGAACTGAAATTAAGGGAGTAAAAGTGCTTATGGAAATTTTTGCAGCCTTAAATGAAAGAAGAAGGAGAGGAAGGGATATGAAGGTGTGTGTGTGTGTGTAGATAAGTGACAGCATTTTGGGCAGAATGTCAAAAGATTTTGCACTGGAGTGAAGCCCAACGGAACTAGTGACAGGGTGAAATGTAAGTGAGTATGTGACTACTTAGAATGGGCTGATTAGTCAGCAAAGTTAGAGACTACTGTTCTGGAAATCTCACAAGAAAAACTGTTTTACTTACTAATTTTTGGAATTCATTAACTAATGCATTTACTAGTAATGAAACCACACAAAAAAGTTTTTTATTTCAAGGTGACTAGCAATGCTAGCACTCACTGACCATCTTTGATTATCTTTACAAGAAGACCTTGAGACAGTGATTGAAGGTTGAGGTAGCAAATGTAACTGAATACAGTGTTATCTCAAATATATTATTATGTACATAAAACCATCTCTAACTCTGCCCATACCATGTTGGATTTTGACCTCCCCATCTTTACCTGGGAACAAGGTCTTTGCAATAAGAGCATGAGTTTGGTTCTTAATGATTGTTATCACTTCGTCTTACTATGATTAAACTGGAAAAAAAAATCAAAGAAAGGTAAAAAGGATGATCTAAGTCATGATGTTACAATAGGAATATTAATTAGGGAAACCAGCGTTCTGTACCCTGGAGAAAAGATTGTTCTATGGAAATGTTAAAGAGACCTAAAGAACCCCAAATGGTATGAAGGTTGTGCATTAAGAATTTCTTGTTTAGTCTCATTTCCAGTTAAAAAATGTTGAGCATCAGTTGAAGCTAACAGAAGCTTCATTCAAAGCAAGAAAGCTTGATTCTTCATCTTGTTTTAGCACCTATAATATCTTTCTCAAGAAACTTTACAAATTCACTCTACACATTTTATGGGCCTTCAGAATAGTGGATAATTTAGAGAGGGAGTACCCACCAATACCTATTGAATAAAAAAACACATTATCCCTGGCTAAGGAATTCCAAATGTTGCAAATTTTTGGAGGTTAGGTTATTTGGTGAAATCTCATTATGTGCTGTATTGTTCCCTTTTTACTTTGGGTGATTTTTTGGAGAATGGTTACTAAGCTTGATGAATCAGTAGCCTTTGCCCCGACCTAGAATCACCCTTATGTTAGAAACAAAGCTGATTTGAAATAGTAATCAATTTATCCAGTAGTGTTAAAATAGAATTACAACAAAAGTGTGTAATTTAAATTGAGATATTTTTCAAGTAAATATATGAAATCTATCAGATTGCATTTAAGGTAGAGTGATTCCTTCTTATTCTATGTATGAAGTACAATTTTTCGAATTGTAGTTTCAGGAGTGTGCTTAAAAAGGTTCAAAATTTTTGATTATGTCCATCCTGGTTCAAAACTAGTGAAGATTATAAATAGGAGAATAAGTGGTGAAGGGGCATATTATCTTTAACTCTGCTGTTTTCTAGGTTTTAACTCTGATGTTTTCTTCCTCAAAAGCATCTATCTTGCTTCTCTTTTTGGTTTAGTTTGCTAGTTTTTGTTTAGTTTCCTATCTCCCACTTGCTTCAGTGAGCAATAAGTGTATTTGTGCCAAAACCAAGAACACTGACGTCCTATTTTAGACTGTTATCATTGTGTTTCTTTTATAGGAGAGCCAAATCTGTGCCAAATCTGTGGTAAGTGCTGCAGTAATTCACATTTTCCTGCTTCCCTCCTTCAGGACTGCATGTTATACTTTCCAGCATGTTATGTGAATGCAGATGGATCTTTGTACCTGGAGGAAGAAAACAAAGGAACACAACTGTTTGCTTGCGTTGTGGCTGTCCATGTGAGATGTGAGGGGAAAAGATACCCTTTCAATGTAGTTTTAATTTTAACAGAATTACTGAATGTGGGATCATAAAGTAGTTAGCATTTCCTAACACTAACACTCTTTTATCTGTTTGGATGCAGAAAGTCAGAACAAATTTAATGAAACTGGTATTAAAATTTAGACAAAGTGTTTATATTCAATTATACATATCTTTTAATATGAAGACAATAATTTAGAAGACCTTTAAAGGTATTAAATTTCTTTACCATCAAGCTCATAGTCACTAAAGTCTATGTGGGAATTTCTTTTTGCAGAACTTGGAAACATACCACCCGTCTGTAGGCAGGTATTACAGCTCTCCCAGCTTTTCTTTCCATTACATAATAATACAGTACTCAAAATTCAGCTGAAAAAGACTTTTCAGTAGATGACCTGCAAAAATTAAATACCGAGAGAATTTTTTAAAAGTATTCAGAGTCTTTAGTGACTTAAAGATTGTACTAAGAAGCAGACCTTTAAAGAATGCCTCAAGTGGATGAGCTACTGTGTTGAAATACAGAAACTGGGAAACTGGAATTATTTCCAGTAATGTATCTGACCCACAGAGTACTGGTGTGTGTTAGTGCTGGTCTCCTTTTGGATTATAAATTGACTTTGATGGATTGTAGTTAGGAACAGGTATAAATATGGAGAAGAAGATGCAGAAAGGACAAGAAAACCTTACAGATGGTAACTCCCTCACTCTGGACAAAGCCAATGGAAATCTAACCAAGGAAATTCTCACTCAACAACAACAAAAAAGTATGTTCTTCATGCTAATTTAGAAGACATTAATTTAGAAGACATTTGGGCTAAGATTTTGCTTGCATATATTTAATTATAAAGTTCAGACTTATATCTGAGCTAGAAGCCAGAATATGTGATTTATTTTGTCCTAAAGCAGAAATCTTAAACCTGTTAGAGGATGCATGGGACTTCTAAAGTTAAATGAGAAGCATTCCCTTATTTGTTGAGGTAAAGGTGCCCTTACTGTGCTGTGGTGCAGGAAGATGAATGTGGAGAAAATAAGTTTATTTTTCAGATTCAAGTTCAAAGACACAATATTCATTTTTTCATGGAGTGTTACACTGGGAGATAGATCACTATTGTTTCTTTAGCTTAACAGAAAGGTAGTTATGTGTATTGACTCTTCTAAGAAGGAGACAGCCTGAAAAGCAATACAAAAGGAACATGGGAATTTTTGAAGAGGAGAGGTATTGGACTGGAAACAGCAGTAGTCAGAATAACATTTGACATGGTGAGAAACTGCTCTGCTGGAATTAAAACCTCCATCTAAGGGAGAAGCATCTTCCATGTTGGATGCCATGAGGTGTCTGCATGCAGCCAGTGAATTGTCAGTTCAGGCTGCAACAACACATACCCACACTTGCAATGTGCATATATGAAGTCATGGGGTTCTTTCACACTAGTGTGTGATTCAGCAGGTTGTAATGAGCTGAACAGATCCATGGAAAGCTAGGCACCCACACCTCTAGCAGGAGATGTGTAAGGAGGACCACAGGCACACCCAGATTTGGTGTGTGCACTTGTAACTACTCAGAGGTCCTGTGAGAATGATGTGCACATGTAACTGTGTTTTTCTGTCTGTCATTAGAGAATTTTGGGTGGGTTGTTTCAGGAGGTAGTTTTTGTTTGTGTATATTATAAGCGTTTCATATGCATCTAATATTGTGGTTTATTAGCATTTTGCTTGCATCTAATATTGT